TATGTGTATATTTAACTTTTAATCATAAAAGCTGTCCACCTGAAACCAAGTGGCTGCTCCCCTTAGGGCTCAGGTCTGCTGTATGAACATGAACTCTGTTGCCTTGATTGTATGAGACTCCAGATTCAGACGAGAACATATTCTCTGTTTTTCTGTAGTTCCAGTTTAATATGACTATCCAGTTCCTAATGGTTACTGTGTATGATAAAGCAGCAGCAAAACCATAACATTTAAAAGCCACTTTATCTTTATGGTTGGTAAAGCAACCCTATTTTATGGGGCAAAAGAAAAGGCTCTGAGATGTGGCTACAGCCCTGCAGAGAAACCTGTTTATGCAGAGTCACATTGAGAACTTCTTTCATGTAGTTTAAAGTATCAGCCCTTAATATTTGAAAATACACAATAAACACACAACACTGGATCATTGAGTATGGAGGTTAATAAAAATACAGCCTTGCATTACCATTAAAAAGGCTCTAATTTTTCTTCACAGGTTATTAGTTCACACAATGAAATAATCTCCTTTCTTATCCTGGAAACACATGCATAAAACAGCTCAGATAACATAATTTACATACGGGCTGCCGCGTACGCATGTTAATGTCTGGCAGTGAAAAGTTCAGACAAGTTTGTAATCCCAGATTTCCTGTGCGTGCACCACACCCAGATTCCCAGAAAGGATCCCTAAGGGATGGGGACACCCCATGTCACCAGGGTGGCAGGTCCGCTGCTCTCTGCACTGTGTCTGGACAGCTTGCAAGTCACCCAGTTTCCCAGCACACAAGACTTGTGACAGTTCTGGGCATTTTAGCATCAGAGCTCTTTTCAGCACATGTTGGTATTCGTGTGTCGCAGTTTCTTTTGTCACTCATTTCTGCTTGTGGCAATCTTTCTAAGCCTATTGTGCACCCTCCGCTGCCTTTGTTGGGGTTACTATATTGCTTACTATTGGAGCCAATCTGCATTCCCATTTAAAGTGCTATCATGTCACCCATCACCAATCATTTGCTTTCATCCCTTAAAACTTCCATACAATGGCAACCACGCCATGAGGACAAAAGCTGGAGCAGAAAGGGAAAAGAGGCAAGCAGCAGCAGCAGCAGCTGGGCTAAGTTCATCCTGCGGGGTCCTTCCAGGTGTGCTCTCCACCTCCGGCTGACAGTGTGCATTGCTTTCCTGCCCCTGCTTCCCCTGGCAGCACAGCTTTGCTTCCCATCGCAGGTACTGGATACGAGCTCACGGCAACCACTTTAGAGTCAATGCCAGCAGGTAGTCATACCAATTTTATGGCACAAGCCAGTGATGCTTTCCCTACTGAAAACTGCAAGAAAAAGGGAAGACAGTGTGGGAGGGAAAAGAGGGAAAGACTCTTATTGCAGTAATAGTGATTGTTAGCAACACTTTTCTAAGCAAAAATCCAGCTTGCTGGGCACCTTTAAAACCACCAGCATATAGCCCTACTCTTGCTGGAGGCAGCCATCTCATTAACTGACTAGAAAGTCAGTTTGCTGCAAAAAAGACAAAGATGCAGTTAGAGCATTTGAGGGCTTTGGAACTGTCCCAAAAGCATGGAGCATTCCTAAGCACTCTGGGATTTGCTACTCCTTTTGCTACTATTTTATCTGGGATTTGCTCATATATATAGCCATCCTCCTAACAGTTTAGAGCTATCAGCTGTAAAGAGATCGAAGACTTCTCAGACTACCTATAACTAGTTGCTTGAAAATGGTGCAAGGATTCTGTGCAAAGGTGAAATAACTTAAAGTGTTCTAGCCTGCAACCAGGCATACTGGGAAAGATGTATAGTAATTCATGCAGAGCACTTCTCTGAAACAGATCTCCGAAACAGGCATGGCTCAAAGCAAAGCTTTAAACCTTTTACAAACCTACCTTTTACAAACATGACCTTACTGTGTTTCATGGGGGCTACAGGATTTTAATGAGTTAAAAATGACCAAAATGACACAACTTCTGTTCCCCCTTGTCCTATATTCTGTGTAGTTAATGAAATGAAGCTTAGCTATGTTGTATTTTGCTGGTTACACAGAATGGAATAGCCTTCAGACCATGGATGAAAAGTTCTAAATAAAATGTTGTGAGTTCACAGTTATTATCCCCTCATTTGCCAAAAGTTCCAAATGTATATTATACAAACGAGTATAATTTTCCCAATGTTGTGATTTGAAAATTAATTGATTCCTCTTATCTAACACTGTGCGCTACATGGTTGAGAGGCTGATTCTCTATTAACTCCTGTCTTGTAAATAATGATCAGTATCTCATATGTAACACAGACATTTTGTCTTTATTACAACACTTACTATTTGCAGCATAATGCACTAGAAACAATAGTTACAAAATAGTAGTGTTGATACAGGCTAAGCAACCACACTTTTTTTTTTTTTTTAAAAAGGTGCTTTTAGATCAAACAGTTCCAGGTTTCCCAGCAATTTCCTAGCTCAAGAAAGGACAACTTTAGCTAGTCCCCACTAATATACAAGTTTGCTTTAGTGCAGTACCAGTGCCTGCATGTGTAAAGTCTCTGGAACAGCCTCCAGGCAAGAAATGAAACATGAAATATCAAAAGTCACAAACACCAGAAAAAGTTAATTGGAAAGTTCAGCTTTTATTTTTTTCTTCCCATCTAGATATGACCATTACAGCACTTAAATTGAGAAAATGCAATAGCCGCTAGTGGCTCTTTCTAAAACAGGCTGATAAGCATGAAAATATTAAAAAAAAAAAAAAAACACAATAATTTATCTTTAAAGCTAAAACATCTGAAACACCCTCCTTGTTCTTGCTGACTTTGGATTTTACCAAGAAGGAAGTTGCATGATACACAGGACAGTCCATTACACATGCAGTAAGTGTCAAGACTGAGAAGAAATTTGTGTCATGACAAGGTGACTTATGACCTGAGAGTTGCTGAATTCTACGTTTTATTTGCAATCACTTTAAAATGTACTTTTGTCAACTAATGGCAGTGTTTTTTTTTTTTTTTTTTTTTTTTTTTTTTAAAGTAAATTCTTATATATTTGTACCTACTATTTGATTTCTAGTAATGGTACTAGTACTTTGAAAAAATCTTCTCTTCTAAATAGGCTTTATTGCCTGAAAACGGGATATTCATATGCAAGTTACTTGGAAGTACTGGATGCCTCACATGATAATGTTTTGAGTCTTCAAGATATTAACTACCTGAACTTTTTATCAGTTTCAAGCAAGAAACTGGTGAGCTGGATTCAGTTGTCTCTATGCTTCTGTAGGGACAACTGTTGTATGGATAAGGCATTTTTTCTGCATGAGAAAAGCAGATTTTACACACTGGGCTGAAGGAGTACATTTAAAATTGCAGAACAGAGTTCTGCAATCAATTCCCTGCAGTTTATGAAAACCACCGGGTGAAAGATGAGGAACAGGTATTTTTTGGAAGTTTTCAGCAACCAAATCTCTAGGTCAGAGATAAATTTTGCTTCTTCTACTTATGAAGTTAAACACGCAGGGTCTGGATTTTTCTTCCCCTTTTAAACTACACTAATTTCACCTTCAAAAGAGGAAGACGGTGTTTCCATTTTTAGTCTGAAATTCTTTGAAGTATTCCCGTTCCATAGAACAGGGATCTGGATAGAATTTGACAAAAAAATTAATTCCTTATTTTAGGTTTGGTTTCGGCAATAAGGAAGTTAATGAGATCACATCTGTTTTTGTCCTGTTATACTCTATAGCAGTCCACTGGAAACAGCACCATTTGCCTATAGCTTTTTCTTTTATCCTCAACAGACTAACCCAGTCTAAACACTGTTTATAAACACATCCATAGCAAGACTGTGCCATGAACCAATTAGCAAACATTGTGATGTTACTTACCCATAGCTACAATTAAGAGTTGCAGTTTCGCAACAGCAGCTACCTGATGTCTAAGGCAGACCTTAAGAACACTTTGTTTGGCATAGAATGGAGAAACATCTCCAAAAACTACCAAAAACTTAACTCCACAAGTAACATTTGAATACCGATACATCTGGAACAGCTGGGTAACAAGTTGTGCACCTCAACTTCAGAAAGCAGCTGCTTTTAGCCTTCATTTTGAGCCAGATATTTGCTTTCAGCCACCAGTATATTCTATTTTATTTTGTAGCAGCTTCTTCAGTGTTCCCATATGGACAAGTTAAGCAGTTCCAAGGATATAACTGCAAGTATATATAATGCTTTTTAGAAGAAATAGAGGCCAGATGTTGCTTTTTTATCTTCATGTGCATTTATCCCTTAAAAAAAGTTAAATTGTTTCACATAGTATTAAAGCCACGTATAGGCAATTTGCTCATAGGCCATTTAAATGTCAACTTTCTAAAAGACAGAAAATAACATTTTAACCTACAATTCAAACTGAAATAAAATGAGACTACCCTAGAATAACTTCATAAAATAAATACAGCAGAATCCAGGATCACGGGGACAAAAGAGAATTGTGCAGAAAAGGCGTGGTGACCCATTTCTGAGATTTTAATGAGTACTATTTATGGCTTTATTAGAAAAGAAAGAAGTTACTTCATTGTTATAATACAGTTACAAGTTTGACGTAAATGCTATCCAGCACCACCACTGATTAAAGACCTTTCACTCTGCTGCTTTACACCCCCAGGATATAACCTAACCCATCCATCCAAACACTAGAGAATTTAGTACATCTGTTACTACCACTGTAATCCGTTAACATCTCTCTTGTATGTACTCCTGGTTACTACACCTTGTGGGTCCAACAGGGTGGGTACTAATTCCTTCTCAGATTGTCCAAGAAAAGTAACTTAAATAAAAAACACACTGGTTTTAATTTCCCTGATTTCCTGAAAATAAGGCATTATTGCACTAATTTAATGGCAGATGTTTATAAGAAAATATTAACCGATTACTCTCCCCCTCCCCCCACAATAATACTTATGAGCTCTTTCTCTGTGAGACAGTCCACAACATACAAAAACTGCCAAGACACCAACTACAACTTTTTGAGTAATGTCACTTTATTAAGGGACTGAAAAGAATCACATTCTCTAGTAGTCTTGGAACAATGCAAACGGTGAACAAAAGACAAAAATAGATGTAATTGGTTCCGAAAAGCATGAACATCTGTAGAGAATGTGTTGTGTTATTCCTAAGGACTCTTGCTTTTGAAAAAAAGCACATGTTCTTTATATACAAGTGTCAGTGCAATAGCCAATAAAGCAATCAGAAATATAAAAATATCCTAGATACAAACTTAAAATAAATGTTTGAAAGCTGACAATATCAGTATTCTGATATTTCTATATATCTGGAAGGAGTATGATCACTGGGATGAGTTATTCCGATGAGGTAAGAGACATTAGATGCTCTGTGATAACACAAAGCCATTAATCTTTTTCAGTAAGACAAAAATAGAGCACCCAATGAAGCTGCAAGTTTTTGCAGCAGGTGCCCACAGGAAGTGAAATTACAGTCTGTGAGCATTATTACATTCCTGCACCATTTATATTTGCCATCTTTGCCAAGAGTTGTACCAGCAAAAACTTGCAAATTCTCCCACCCTCCCCCAACTTCAGTATAAACTGTACATACTGTGCAGATATTCCAAACTGACAACTGCTTTAAACACAGACAAGATCTATAAATGTCCAAAAACCACTTAGTCATTCTTTCCTTTATTGGTTGCCATTTTTTATTTTATTTTTTTGGCAGCAAGGACAGGAAGAGATTGCAAAGCTTGACAGCTGAATAGCTCTCTCTATAAGAAGGAGAGAACAGGGTGTGTAGTATTTGTTTTGCCCCAGGTGTTTCAGTGATGACACTGAACTTAAACCTCAGCTGGCTGAGCTATAAAAATCACATTCCTCTTGTTTGCTCTGCAGTTTGCATGGAAGGATGCATTAATCTGGGGCTACTGTTCCAACAAAGGAGGAAAGGCTATTTGGTCAAACTTTCAGCTAGATACTGTCTGCCTACATCATGATTCATCTTCTTTCCTTCAGCCATCTCTTTCAATATGACCCTCCAAGCTCTGCTGCTAAATTCTGCCTCCTAGTTTTTAACTTTTCAGAGAAAAAGGCAAAATGACAGGTAGACAGCACACTGTGTCCTTTGTGGCAAAGAACCCCAGGAAGAACTGACAGCAGAGCAGGGAGTGGCAGAAGAGTACAATGAACACAAACTCCTTTTTAAGGTGGTAATGGGGATTTAATTTCAAACTGTGTGTCAATCTCAGGCACTCCTCTTTGGAAAACACTGAATTATATAGTCTCTAGTACATCAAGATTAACTTGAACAGGATATGATATGTACGATAAAAAAAGCACAATGAGAGCTGGCAGTCGCATTCTTATGAAACTTTCCTTACCACTTATGGCACGCACATGCATTGAAGCACACAGCAGTTGCTGGAATCTTTAAAGGATTTCTTAGCTTTACATCCTAGACTCAAAAGCTTTCCTTTTAAATCTTCTCATTTTTCATCATTCTTTTCTAAACCTCTTGTCTCAGGCAAATTGAGACAGCTGTGCAAGATGGAAAACTGAAGCTAGCAACATCTGTAGTGTGATGACACTTGACAAATGATTTCAGGTTTTCTTTCGTTTTCTGGAAGATGCTTTGCAGATGTCAAAGCCTCAATGAATCATCATACATCTCTCCTTAACCCGACTGAATGTGGCATTCAACATTTCCAAATATTGAATTACTGCTCACCACACCCCAGCAAGACAGGCTATTACGTCTCAAGTAAACAGGCAGGAAATGGAGGCACACAGAATGACTAAGTGATTATTGCAACATCATGATACACGTCTGGGAGAGTCAGAAGCTGAACCTGTATTTCTTGCATCTCAGTCTCATGTTGTCTTTTTTTTGTGTGTTGCAGCCTTTTTCTTTCCCATAGAGGAAGACTGGAATCTCTTAAGAGTCTGTCACTGCTACTCTGGTTGACAGGTGATGTCGCCAATGAGATAAGAATCGTTGCATTCCCCACATCAAAAGGTGGAACACACTGTATGACATCTGTTTGCTGGAAGAAATACTAACCATAGAAGTCCTTAAGAACATCAACATTTATTTAATATGATATAAAAGAAATGAGATATGAACAATCGTATCTGAACAGTAAGTGGTTTCTTATACTTACATCGTATGTGCTCATTGTATAGTATATACACAATGAACATAATTACATTTTTACACAAACTAAGCACTGGATTGAAAACCTGCTTATTGCTGTACACACCCTAACCCAAAGGAAAAGCCCAGTACCTCAAAATACCTACACTCCATTTTATTTAAGAAAAAGTAAGCACTAACATTAATGTATTTGTTGACAGAAGTGTGGCAGTAACTGCTGACTTTGCAACCTGACCAAGAAGTAATTACAGCAGAAACAGGACATATTTTACTAAGCAATAATAAAAATGGCACATTTTAAATATATCTATATGCATATATATATATAAAAATTTTACAAATAAAATGTTAAAACAATAAATTGTAGTGTTTAAAAAGTGTAAAACAGGTTTAGTGGTGATATGTAAAATTAACTGTTATGCATCTAAAAGAAGCAAAAAAGTAAACTTATATGATCCGTAATTAAAAGAACGTTAATTCTGGAAAACAAAGTTCTGACTGTAGGCTGCACATTAAAAAGAGCCTTTATTTTATGTGCACAGAAATCATAGCAGCAAGCTGGTATCAGGAGAACAATCTGAAGGTTGTTGAGTGTACATGTGGGCCATTAAAGCTCTCTTGGAATAAACATTTTCCAGGAAGTGATAAAATGATGCTCTGTGGCCAAAAGCATCAGTACTATGAATTTCATAGATTTAAAATATACTGTACAATATCTTCTCACATTTCCGTCGGTCAGGTCCATACATCTCAGGCATGAATTGTTTCAACAGAAGCCATTAGTGCTGGAAGACAGACATAGATTAAGTTACTCTATTTCAGCAACAACAGAATATTGTATAAAATAATTCCTGGGATTAAACACAGCATGGAATTTCTGACCTCATCCTAGCAGGAGTTATCAGTGATGTAGAACATCATGAAGTATTTTAGGTATAAGTTGTTTCCAACATCAGTTTTCCTGATCATTCTCTGACATCAAGAAGCAGAAGTAAGCTTTTTTTTTAAATTTATGCAACTTTGCATGAAAACCCACTCTGAGAGTTTTATCTTGATTTACTTAACTATCTCCCAACATTTTTAATATAAAAACAGTAATAGTATCCATGACCCTAACTGTTTTGACAAATGACAGGTACAATTTGAAAAGGGAAGCAACTTTATTTGAGTGCTAAACTGTGATGTCAGTGTAGCTGTGAAGTGCTCTGAAGTTCAAGTGCTCCACCCAGAGATTGCTGCATTTTGGCTATTGCTGAAATGACTTCTATAAATAGCTTTTAACAGTTTGTTAGTAGAAGTGTCTGAACTTTAGATACAGGTGCTGCTTAAAATTTCATTATCCCTCCATTACTCAGTGTAAATGTAATGCTTAAAAAACAACAGTGGTATGCACCCAGATTCTCTTCTGCAAAGCAGGAGCCGTAATGAAGGAAGTAGCTTTGTGTTAATGGTTTTTTCCTGAGTCTTAGGATATCCTATGCCACCAATTTCCTATGCCAAATTCTCCTGGCATTGTGCCAAGAGTATCATTTTACTAATTGACCGTATAAGCTAAATATAGGTATTATTTCATTATTTTCTGAAATCTACCATACATTTTCCAGATGCCGTGTATAAACAGGACTGATCCCACAGCTCTGAATTTCCCTCCAGTGCATAGTATTTCTTGCATTTGAGAGACACCAAATTCTTGTACATTAAAAGACCTATCTTTCAGCACTGCACAATACTGGAATGGCAGCCACAGAAGGCAAGGGGCAGTAAATGCTGCAGGCAAGCAGACTATGCCCCTTACATCTTCTGTGTATACTAGGCCCTGCTCGTGGATTGAATTTGTTTTGGAGCTCCTAGGAAACAACCAACAGAGGCATCAAGCGCACCAAAGAAATGGGGAATGCACATGCACATTGTTGAATAGTTTTTCCAACTCAATTCAAACACTGAACAGCCAAAAGGGATATATTTTAATTTCTGAAATCCTTGCTTCATTATAGCTGTGCATAAGCAGAGCATTAGTTTTACAACTACCATCCCAGATGCTCTGTTTTGCCATAAGCATAACAATACAATTATATTGTTGCAAAAAGTAATGTAGAATCATACTTAACATGGAAATGTTATACCTACAGCACTACCTGTGAGGCTACATCACACTGTGGACGTCAAGGCTTAGGCATTTAATTACAAAGCAGATCACAATAGGAGTGATTCAGTTTTGCTAATCTCACATTTAGCATAAATACTTTAAAATAAATTTGCTAATCTGATCACTGGAACCAATGACAAAAGGTGAAAGCAACTTAATGCAACTGGTAAAAAAAAAAGTCCTGGTGAAGGTACAGGTTGCTTTCCCTTTCAAGACAGGTGTGCTGTAACTACAGAAAGAATTCAGCAGTGCAGTTTCAGTCACACTACTGACCTGAAACTAAGTTGACAGGGGAATACTTGTCCTAGTTAAAAATAATATGCATAAGAATGCATAAGCATATACAATAGAATTAAAAAACCATTAACACAAATCAGCGTTTCCAGAAAAACTGAACAGTCCCACTTTTTTTTTTTTTTTTAAATAGTTCCACAACAATGCTTTTGAATAAAAGTACAATAATCCAAACTAAATTTAATTATGGCAGACTGTATCCAGTAGGAAGAAAGGAACATTGGTGTCAGTATTGAATGTAGTCTTTTCATGCAAAACAAGAAAAAAATGAAAATATCCTGCCCCCCCTTTTAAGAATATTAATAGATTCCCGCATGTAGTTCATGTAAATAAGGTATTTAAGATGACTAATAAGTCTAATTTTGCTAAGATGAAAGCTTGGCAATACAGGCTGGGCAGTAAATAAGAAAATGTATTTTCAGATCTCCCAAAGGTAAGTGACTGGAAACATCTCAAATTTAAAGTTTTCTTAAGTTGCATTAGCTATGGCATTTAATGTTATCATTGAAACAAAGCTCATTCTTTTAGTAGAAAGCTTACTTAAACAGTTACTTCCTGACAACAAAATGTTGATTGATTTAAATGCTGGCAAAGTGCTAAAGTGTCTACATTGATATCATATTAGTTCGTTTAAACACTCGTATAAACAAATATGCTTCCTTATATTACCATTTCCATTTATTGATTGGATAACACTACAGGTAGGAACATGTAAATCTAGCCAAACTCATGCTTTGTAACTTCCTAGAAAACACCTAAGATGAAGGGAGAGAAGCTGTGTAGAGCTATCTGTATAGAAAGAAAAAAAATACGATTTTGTAATTGTTACATTTTCATCCACCCTTAATTTTTTCCCCTTCCTGTTTGCTACATTTCATTCATCCATGCACTAAGCCATAAACTCTTTGGACTATTAGACCACTCCCTCTTATGCATTGCTAAGAGATCCAGCTCTAGTTGCCCATTACCCAGACTGAAGTATCAAGATTCATTTGTATCTGAACAATGATGTTCACAGCATAATTGGGTATCTGTTTTTTAATAGCTTAGGTCTCTCATGTAATACAAATTCTCTTACCTTGCCAGTTGTGGAGAATGTGCTTGATAAGCCAATTAGTCCTTTCTTTTTGTATTTTAATATAGTATACATTACTTGCAAGCAAGTCAGTACATTTATTTGTTTTGTTTTATGGTTAATTTATATTCAACATTGTAGACACCTTTGTGTGTCTCTTGCCAAATACTGTCTACAGACATTTCTCAGAAGGATAACAACAATATAAACACTCAGAAAAAAAATATTAGAGAAATGGCAGGAGGGGTGGGGAAAAAGGACGTACTTCTCTGTAACTATACACACATGAAATGTGATCCTTCTGTGAGCTGTGGTTGTGTAGATGGAGCTGGTGACAATAACGATTCTGGTGAAGAAGGCAAACTTTTCACTGCGAGTCATACAGCAAGATAAATAAGAAAACAAGTTACAGAAGGCAAAAGCTAGCTGGTCTGAAATCATGATTTCAAGCCATAATAAATATAAGATTGACAATCATAATTTAAAACCATAATACGTATAAACAGAACTAAATGGAAGTTACACAAGTTAAGACTTCAGATCTGATCAACACAATGAGTACAACTTCAGGGGAGAAGACAGCTGTTCTCAACAAAGATCATTTCTTTCAAGAAAGAAAACATCCCAGGAAAGACTCAGGCCTTTACAAGACCAAAAGAACCTCTCAGGAACAAACAACAGACACATGAATGCTGATGTGTTATGTTACAAAGAGGAAAAAATATGAACAATTTAACTACTTGGGACACTTCCAGACCCACTTTTATATCCCAGCACAGATTAGCTAAGCATTTGTTATTCTGCCTGGCACTATACAGTGCATTGTTAAATGGTTCTGGTTTTGATTATCAAGTCACAGAAAGGATTGCTGACTGCACTGCAAAGGTCCAGGTCACCTTTTATGCCCATATATTGAACCATTTGCTTTACTTAACCATTCCCATCACCAAATACCTTAATAATGTCTTAAATTCTATTATCTTCCTCCTCTCCTACCTGCTCCCCACTCATTTTTCTCTTTGCAAACAATTTTGCTTTACTCCAGCTTTTCATTCTAGCAAAACACACCACCAAATGTTTTACCAGTCAGATAGTATCTCCTGCTTCCTCATCTGTTTCTTCTTCTGAAAAGATGACCAACCTGATCTTTTACTTGCTAGTTGAAAATCTACAGAGTATATTGGAAACTTTCAGATTCCTCAATCTGTGCAAACCTGAGGCCATCCCTGACTAGGATGTAAAGGTAAATAGTCTACACATATCCAAGACTGAGGTGGTGTTCTACAAGATGAACAGGGAGGGATTTGCTCCAACCAAATCCAATAATAATACGACTCAATTTCTGGCAATAGTCAATTAATTCCCTGAATTAAATGCCACAAAATCTACATTAAAACCTCAGAAAAATGGAATTTCTGTAGCTATCTCGTGGGAATCTACTTTTCCCTGTGTTATAAAAACATATGCACAGCACCTAGACTAGCTCAGAACTTTCAATTCAGAACGGTTTCAGAGCATCAAAGGACATGTAAAACTTGATTTCATTGTGATGATATGTAATGTCTAATTTGTGCTTTAGTCAAATGTTTTTCCATACCTGCTGTTGCCTGATTTCCTTTTGAAGACTGTGCTGCTAATTCAAACGGAGAGATAATCCCTCCTTGCTCTTGAACACTAACTACTTCACTTTCTTCTGAACTGGTTTTGGGTTTGTGGTTTGTAACTGTGGTTACGCTCTGCAAGCTGATTGAAAAAAAGCACAGCATTTAGAACTCACTCGAACTTAATTTCAGGTGTTAACCACTGATGAGTTAAAATTTAGTTTTCTTCTGTTAACAGAAAAAAAAGTTGCAGTAGGCAAATTTGTGTAATATAAATTAAATATGTATTTTCAAACACATCTACCCTATAAGGTTAGACTTAAAAAAAACACCCTAGAAACCAAATTCCCTTCTTTTACATAGCCATACTGTTTCCCACTGCATGATACCTATTTTGATGAAGCATGCTATGAGATAGTTATGATCTGATGTAAGAGCCCGCTTAGGGTCTGCAGTGTAACTGTAGAATCTGTACAGCTTAAAATAATGTTATGAAACATTAAAGAGTAACATTCAAAACACAATATTTGTCTAGTTCTGTAATATTCCTAAACTGTGATGTAAAGGTTAAAGCAGGAGGTATAAACTAAACTGTTTAACCTGTTCATAAATGTGATGTTTTCCTAAATGTCAGTAGTGAAAAGCTTATTATAGAAGCTCTGGATGAAGCTTTCATAATAAACTGATAAAGCTTGAACTGATGTTACCTAACACATTTTTTAAGGTAAAGCAAGATTATGAACATATTCTATAACTAGGACAATACCTGAAAATAAGCATCTCCCCTCCCACCAACTCATCACCTCTTACTGAATCTTGGCAGGGAGTTAGGTTTCTCACTAGATTTCTCTATAGGTGAACCACTCAAAAACATATAAATATACCTTATAAGTATTTACGACAGTATTTCATTAGTTGCTTAGTATGTTCAACTAATAAATGCAATATGTAAGTTTAAAATAGCTCTGAACATCTTGTTTTGTTTTTACCTTATACCACCATCATGCGTTTTATCCAATTTATTATTATTTTCCTTTTCTGCTTTCTCTTCATTATTCATGTCTTTTGAGTCAGATACAACATGTGTATCTGATAAAATATCACCAGTTTTTGTCAGCTATAAAAAAAAATTGAAATCATGAAACAGAAAGCTGTAACACACAGTGGTAGATAAGAAATACAGTATCAGGAAACAGTTTTATTAACAGACAAATTTTGCCATCATGTATAGTTAGTAACTCAGAATTACATAGCTTAAGAATTTTTTTTTTAATCAATACCATTCAGGTTAATAGAGTTATCCTGAAACTTATACCAGAGGCAATGGGCAGGGCTTGCCTTAATAACTTTCAGAACTTATCTGAACTCTTCAGATTGCAGCCTGCCTAAATTTTGTATGCTATATGCTATCCCGCTCTTCAGAATGCCAGAGATTCCAGCAACTGGAGTACATTGCAGAGGAGCTTGAATTAGATACCTAAGGTCTTATTAGATATAACTGGTATTAGTGTATTACGTAATACTCCTTTAAGGGATTTGCGTACTTAGCATAAAACAGTAGACTCTCAAAAGAGAGTATTCTTGAAGACTAACAACAAATGCTAGGTATTTGATTTTTATCTGTAAGAAATGTTTTAAAATAGCTAAATATAAAATCAGAAAGCAAAAGGAAAAATAAGGGAAGAAAAATACAGATTGAAAAAGAAAAACTTACACACAAAGAGATTAAAAAAACAAGACACTGCAAGTAGGATATAACTATGTGGAAATACTTTCTGTAATCTGTTCTTCACAGTCAGTTTGCTTTTGCTTAGTGTTCAGGGCACTTCACTACCAGAAACACCAACGTAACTCACTGTCAATTGAATCTGAGACTATTTCAAGACAGAAATAAATCTGATGACCAAACAGCATGAACTACAGTTACTGCCTAGTTCCATGTATAAATTGCTGTGTCAGCTTTATTCTGCTTCCTGTAAAGTATTTGGTGCACTAAAGCCGAGCAAACAAAAAAGTCAGATGTATTAAATGATCATCAAAAAATACACACACAATGATTATTAAAGATGTATCAGTAGTGGGTTTGTTTCCAAAGATGTAAAGACCATAATTTTGTCATTTTCCAGTCAATCAAGATAGTAACAGATAATTTGAAATTAAATAAAGTTAATTTAAAATTCAATAAAATTAATTTGAAATTAAAGTTAATTTGAAATTAAGATGAAATTTAGGAAGGCTATATATAAAATAGTTCAATTTCTAGGCTACTGACAGATCTGAAACACTTTTGCACTGCTCTACAGAACATTTGTTTATATAAAAGATATCTTAATCTTCGATGCAAAGGAATTTTGCTTGATCTCCCACACTGAGGTCTGTGTTTAAAAATATTTTTCTATTGAAAGACAGGCTGATGAACAGTTCAATTAAGGACAGTTTAGTACCTCTTTAGTAAAACCCGAATTATGTTCTTGTTCTCCATCATGCTTTAGTTGTGCTGTTTCTTCTCCAGGATTTCCATTATTTTGTTTCAAATTATTTTCTTTACTGGTGCTCTCCAGTTCCTTTAGCATGTTACTAGATACATTATCATCCTTTTTCCGATTCTGTGGAACAAAATTGATATATAAATGTGTACTCTTAAAAAGTTATTACCATTTCAGTTCTGAGTCTTGTACTGTGCTAAAAAAAACGTACTTAAACATCTGATCTCAAAACAATCTTTTACATAGCATTCCACTGCAAAAGACACCACAATACAATAAGGGTTTTTTTTGTAAAACTTATAATTTTCTAATTTTTATGCTTCCTAAAGCAATCAACCTAACCATTTTTTTCTCTTCAACACTATTGCACTTTTTTCCCACCCATAAAAATCCCCAGCATTTCCATCTTCTGAAACTACGTTCATATTTAGCTTAGTAACACACAGGTTTAGCAGTATTCTTATTTGTGATCATAGGCCTTGATATTTTTTAAAAATACTTTTTCCTGGTTAAAAAAACCAGATGGATAAAAATATGCTCCTAGTGCAAAATTCACAGTGCGCTCGTATGCTCATTCACCAACTGTCTTGGGTATCTTCCAAGCCTATGCTGTTAACTGATTTAACAGAGGACAATATAACATCTGATAACGGCAGAGTATGATCAAAAAAAATATTCTATCCAGGATATTATTCCTAAAAAAAACAAAACAACACACAACAACAAAAAAAAAACACCAACACACGCAAACACTACACACAGAATACAGAATACATGTGAACATTATGTACGTGTATATATATTACACTATGTATAACTAAAGTTCATACAAGTCAAATCAAACTAAGTACTAGGATGAATATCAATAACAATTTCTTAGCAACTTGCTTTAATATTTTGGTAATAATTTAAAAAATACATATTTGTTTATAAAATATGTTTTTCCTTTTATTCTTCAAAAAAATTCAGCTGAAAAAACTTCCAGCAGTTAAACGCCACTGCATCATTTTCCTGTTTAAAAATAAATAGTCACAAAAATTATACTTTTAAAAATAAGAACTATTGCTACAGTATAATACCTCCTTTTGGGGCCTTCTGATATATTCCCTTCTAGACGGACAGAAGTTGCCATAGGAAAATGGTTTTGTATCATGGACAAATAGCCAAATACTCAATTCAGACATGCTCCCATTTATTCTCTAAATTTTTCTTCTCAGCTCATCCACACAGAACTGATTTTGCACCGAAGACTGAAGAACATGCTGAGATGAACAACATCCTTTTGAAATCTGCATAGCAGGTAGTGCTGCCACTAAGGATTTGACCACTTTCTCACCGTGCTTCCAATGTGCTGGCAAACCAGGTATGACACATATGACTAGTTTGCTCATATGGAGGTATGAAATAACTGAGGAAGGTGTTGAGGCTAGTGACACATGTGAAAACTACTAAAAGAAACATCTGCAAAGTTTTGTACTTCCTCTTCTTGAGAAAGGCAATGTTAATCACAAAAAAAAAAAAAAAAAGGAGGAGCCACCCCCTTCCTATGTGGCATTCCTGATTTCATCCCAAATGCAGATGTTCTAATGTAAAAGGAAAACTTGAATTTTCAGGGTCTTCTGGGCATCCAGGATTATTGAATGAACTTTTGTATAGCTCTAATAACAATTCAGCATGCTCAGAGGAAAAAATAAAATGCTAAGATTTATTTTATTGACCTCTAAATGGTGCATTGCATTTAATGTCTAGGTGAAACAGATGTTAAAATATGTACAAAACATAAAAGATGGTATTCACATGTAACTGTAAAAAAAAAGACAGCATGATCTGAAGAAAAAAAAAAGTATACCAGAGGATAAAAGAGGTAACTCCTTGAAGCTATTCAAAATGAGAACTAACTTCCTAACTCAACAGTTAAAAAGTAGCAGTAAAACCTACTACGCTGAACCTATTTTATTTTTGTTTTTGTCATGAGGTTTGTTGGTTGTTTTTTTTTTTTTTTGGTAACATCTCCCTCTTTCCCTACCCTTATGCATTTAATGAACTCAATGCTTTGCCTTAGATGTTTAAGAATGAGTGAAAAACATAAGTGAAAGTTTTATTTTTATGTATTTAAGGGTTCAAAAACCACAACTAGAGTGCACCATTATAAATATGGTAATGCATAATAGCATAGTAAAGAGCTACCATTGTAAATAAACATGCCTATCTAGAAATGTTTTATAAATCATTTTACTGATGTTTGAATATATTACATGACAGAAAATCTTCATAATTTACACATCAAATGAATCATAATCATCCCTGATATTGCTTTTAGTCACAGAGATTGCAATTTGATGTTGTTTGCAAAATTTGACAACAAACATAACTTGTTAACAAACAGCACAATGCACAATCAAACGTGTAGATTTGAACTACTTATTTTCCAAAAAGAAAGGTGATTTCTATTATCATTAGGTATTGACATGAAGAATGTCATCTCTCTCTCTTGTGTCTGACAGAGAATTGTGACTGTCATTTTATATGAACAATCGCAAATAGACAGGTACCTATAGTATCACGTGACTTTGGAACCAGAATTACTCCTTTTTTTTTAATTTTTATTATTGAGCCTATTAAATGTTTTGAAGAACTTGGGACCAACCTGTGCTGATTTGAATGGATTATCTCTTACAAAAGACAGACTCTGTGAAGGTGACTGGTCTGAAACACCAATAATATTTAGTCCTTTTCTCTTTTCTCTCAGGCAAGCTTGTTGGTGTCTTTTTATTCTTTCCATCTGTTCCTCCACAGTCATTCGAGGACGTGTGCTTTCTGCAAGACACAACTGCTCCACTGCACTTCTTGGTCTTTCCTTAAATGGAAGAATATATAGATTTTTTTAAGAGAAAGCTTCTAAAATGTTTAGCGTATCAGAAAAGGTCACCTAATAGTAATTAAAAAGCAGAGGAATAGTGGGCAAGTAAAGATTTCCTATGTATGCAAAGAAAGCACAAGAACCAATGATTAATAAACACAAACATTCGAATGCACTTTTTTAAACAGTGACATTGTGACCGATGATAAACATCAAGAGAATAGGCAGATGCTTTCTCCAAGTCTTCCTCTGAAGCTGAAATAACTTACCAGACATTATACCAAAGCAACACAAGCTACTTGATTGAGACAGAAATGTAGCTGAAATTTAATGATCAAGGACATTTATCTAATATTTATCTAATATTCACTTCTACCTTTTCATTCCAAGAAAAAGTACAGCTGGACAATATTTAATGGCAAGTGCAGGCTGAAACAAACTAAATTTAGCACCACTTAGAATACATAGTTCTAAGCACTGCATTACTCTTGAAATAACAATGATTTTAGTTGTATTCCTGAAATTCACTGTTTTTCAAACAGCTGCATTCAGTACATTCATAACAACTGATTTAACTTCTGAAGTGAATTGTTTCTCCAGTTGACACCCTCTCTCCTCCACCATTTTTCCTACTTCTCCTCTTCTGTTCATGTTACAAAAGTTTTTTCCCCTTTTGCCTGAACTACATGCGTCTGCCTTCTGCCCAGAGACAACAGAACTCTCTAACCTGAAATTCCATGCTTATTACTCACTTACCGCTTCATTTTCTGTCTGCTTTAGTTTTAGCCCAGATCATTCTAGTAATAACAAACAAAAGGGCATTTATTATACAGAGGTTGATAAGTTTCTCCAGACCCCAAATTTGTCTTTCAAAAGTTTTAGTCTAAGATGCTTCTTGTCCTTTCAGCTCAAGCGTGAACTTCATTTTTCAGTTGCTTAGTAGATTTATCACTACCATTTAGTTCTTTGCCAGCTTCAGTGTAATGAAATCTCTGTGCAGTTTAACATACATGACCTTTACAATTTTGTCATTCTTTCTACAGCTGTCTCCATTAACCTAGTATAACCTAGTATATTATATCTTACTTTACAATGCAGTGATTTTTATCTAAAGGAACTTAAAAAGGTAACTACAACTTTTAAAGTAACTACAGAAATTAAACTTAGAAATTAGCACATCACTATCCATCAACACTTAATTTATTTTAAAGTACCGTTCTTAGATCTATCTTCTTATTCTTCCTTAAAGTGACATAGGATGCTATTGTTGAAGACTCTGGAGTTGGTGATTTGGTTCTGGGTGGTACAACTCCCACAGGAAAATGTGAGCCTGTGAAATAGTAAAGCAATATGCTAAGCACTACACAAAACATCACCAAAACAGAACACTTTTCTAGAACACTGTTTGTCAGCCTTGGAAACTAAAACTTATGCCTAACTCTGATGCCATTTGAGGTACACAGGCAGATGACTAGCTCCAGGCATGAGGTTAGGCTGAGAAATCCATAGTTAACTACTGTGCATGGCATGAGAAATTGCTGGACACGAAAATAGCAGTGAAAAACTGACAAAAGTTGGACAGCACTGTGTGTAGTGGCTGGATTTCACAGATGGTTAAGAGAGAATTGTGTGAAAGATGGCCAGACTTCAGAGATAACTGGAAGGCAGCATTTGGGACTATATGTGGAATACAATTTGCAAGGTCAGCAGTGTCTAGGTAACCATGTAAGTACAACCATTTAAGGTGTTGAAATAGCATTGAAAATTTTAACAGTATCAAAGTGGGACTAATGAAAAACAACCCACCCATAATAACTTGTGGGAAGGAACTAATGCTGAGAAAAGGAGAGTGCAAGGCAGATGGGAAAGAGTAGGCACAGAATAATACAGAAGAGGGGCATATAGAAAGGGTTAGCATCACACAAGCAAGCTGTTTGTCAGTATGCTTATCTGACCAAGCCCTGTGCCTGATTATTACATCTGTCCTATCTCATATTAAACTATATTCCTATGTATTTTCCATGTGAGTAGGCTTTCCCTTCTGTGTATGAGTGCCAAGAGATGCTAGTCACCTTCAAGTCAGGCTAGCTTTCCAGCAGGGTAAGAGGAGTGGGAGACAGCTATAGAGAGATCACAGGTCTGGGGCCAGAGATGGCAAAGACTGAAGGTCTGCAGGCTGGCTTCCAGAGAGGCCATAGGTCTGGACCTGCTATCCAGGAGGACTCTGTTGTCTATGTGAGATCCTGACAAACTTAAGGCAGTAAGCAGGATACAAGATGTGGGAGTCAGCTGTCAAGAGATTTTAGGTCTGAGATGTGGATACTGGAGAAACTCAGAGTCGACTGCAGGAGGGACCACAGGTCTGGCCACCTCCTGGAGAGGGACCCACTGGTGTGTGCACATGTGCTTATATCTATATGGGTATAAGGTCAGCTAACAAGCTTCGCGTATCATCCGGGGGCAAGTGAGAACAGGGTCATGCTATATGTGTTGTTCCACTTTTTTTTGAGTGCTGTTTTTGTTTATGCAGCGCTTGCAATGGCACTGATCTCAAATCTGTTGTTTGGTTGTGGTTAGCCATGTCTGTTCAGTTTGTGTGCTTTTGCATGGAGGGAGCATGTACTCTGCCTCGCAGCTCATTGTACGTAGGGACAGGGAACTGTAGTAGCCAGGCTGTGTCTGGCTGGGAGCTGAGAATATTTTGTTTCCTGATGTCCACCACATATTCAGCCTCTCCTAATAATAACCTACCACTGGAGTTTTTCTACTTAGAGAACCCTTGCCAAAATGTAATTAAGCTAGTAGAAAACTGAAGTTAAGACCTACCAAAATATATATATACATATAATTAGATAACGCATGCTTCATTCTTCCTGCTTGATACATAAAAGAAATCAAATTAAAAAACAGTTTTCTTGCTGTTTTTGCCTAAAATAATAAATGTGTCTTCTCTGATAGCCAAATTATTTTTCCTAATTTTTCCTGAAGTCACAGAGATTTCAGGGGATTGACTGACTCAGTGAAGGCTCAACTGTGTCTCCCAAATTGTTCAATAGGCTGACAAAGTAGTCTGCAGTTATTTGAATGCCAAACACATTATTCAAAACACAAACTATAAAACAACAGTTTGGGTCTCCTTTACACATGAAAAGGATAAAATACAGCTTAAGTCCATTTTCCTTTTGTGTCACCTTTATGTGCCACTCAGGTCATAAATATTCCTTTGCTTGCAGAGAGCTGCAAGGGTTACTTTACATAGCCCCATTAAAACTTTTCTCTTTGATTGTTGACACTTGAAAAGAGAGGGAAATGGCTGACAGAAGAAACATGAGGAGTGTCTAGTACAGTAACACGCACAACAAACTAGAAAAACATTTTAGAAGTTTCCTCTGAAATTTACTTAGTTTCCTATTTTGGATGCTTAGTTGTGTACTTTGGATACGCCATTTAAGCATGACTTCTTAACACAACAAGAACAGAAAATTTCAGATATGAACTCTGAGTTTGCTTCCTTTTCAGCTTACAAACTGTTAAAATAGAACGGCATAAAAATGTTTGTTGAAACAGCACTTGGTTATAACGGCATATGCACTACAAAACACCACCACCACAGGAATGGTTTAATTTTTTCTACTGCATCATGTTGTTTTAAGTGAATAAACAGAACGTGAAAATATCCACCAGAAAATTCACATGTTCAGAAGTGTGAACCAGATGATAAAACACTGCTATGATAAACCCACTTCACTCTGTTTTTTATGAAGATAAATAGCCTCCACTTACTTGCTACCAACTGCAGCTATTCTCTCCCCCAACCCCAGATATTATTTATATTAGAAGAATTTCTATTTTTGGTTCCCTTACTGACGGCTGTTTTACTGAAAAATAGAAAGCAGACTAGGTTGCTCAAGAATTGTCAGTTAGCTTTATATAGTCACCATAGGTTTTCTTGCAGTGTCTTTAAAATTAACTTCCCTTTTCTTGTAAATATCTATAAATAGATACACTGTAGGTCAATAAAACCTACATACATTGTCAGAAAGGCAACTACCTCAATTTAGGTGGCTGATGACTAGTAAATCTCAGACTAAACCTCGCATTTTTCACTACCAAGTTAAAAGAGATTTAATAACTGCTCTAAGTGAACATTATACCTCAGCAAATACCATACTCAAACTAAATTGAGTAATAGTCTGGTAAACACAAGCTTAATTGTATCATCTGTCATAGGGTCATTCACATTGTTTTGCACCCAAAATGTACACTATCTTTAGTTTTAAAAGCCTGTGTAACTGATCTGATGAAAGTAATATCCTTAAATGATCATTGTTCTTGGGTCAAATTCTCAAACTGTTACACCAACCTGCTACAGATGCACTTAGCTCAACTAAGAGAAGCCATTGATCTTGCTGGCACTGGAAACATTGATCATTACGGAAAAAAAAAGGAGCAAGCTTAGGTATTCTGAAAGCTCTTAGTATGGTTTTTGGGTAGTGTTCAAACTGCTTTTCCTGGAGTCACCTTTAACAAACTATTCTGTGTGTTTTAACAAACAGAATTGAGGAGCACTTCCTGGTAAAAGACTCTACCAAGCAATTAGTAGCTTTTATAGAAGCTAGATGAAGAGAAGAATCTAAAGTATTTAGCAACTGCAAAGACCTTTATTGTCTGTACGCTCCAGGGTCATGATCATTATTCCTATTATATCAGAGGACAGAACGCAATTCAACAATTACAAGATTAAAAAAAGAAAAAGACATTGTTTCCCTGCCTTATAAGAGTCTGAAAATTCTCTGGTGCTGCCTTTTTGGACGTTCCAGTGACATAACATTGGGAGCTTGATTCAAAAACTGAATAATTGTTCAAGGGCATGAACATAAAATGGGTAATTGTTCAGGGGAACGGTGTGTGGGGAATGTGAGTGATGTGATTAGACATGGTGTCAATAAGGATTTCAGGGTTGTTGGTGAGTATAATGTTTGATTTTTCTGTGGTGTAATTGACTGAAATCTTTCTCGTCATACAATTAAATGATTATTTTATTGTGGAAGTTGTTTCATCATATTAAGAAATGGACAGGCTACAAAAATACAAAGGATGAAATAGCTTCTGTAGCAGTGAAAGCTTTGTATTCCTTTGAAAAAGGCAGAAAGGTCACAAACAACACTCCTGGGGACAAACCTTTAGCTGTAGATTCTGATTCTGACATTTGTTCTGTTTTTTCTTCACCATTAGATTCATCCACTTCAGCTACAGTAGTTAACTCTGGTTCACTCTTATAAAGCCTATAATCAGGACCCTGAAGAATGACAAGTTATGAGGTAAATAAACTGGTATTTTTGTACAAGCATTTATGTCTTAAGACTCAAAACAGTTATTTTGCGATGAGACTGCTCACTTCAGGACAATAGCTCATTGTTCAACTACTATTGCGGTATTCCTTTGTAATTAATTTGAGTAACATTTGCAGACTTTCAGAAATTACAGAAAAACTGCCATAAAAATATGAAGGGCCTTTTTTTATTGAAATGATCTGGAAAAAACTGTACAAGACTTCAGCAAAACCTGATTCTGAGGCTAGAGTTTTCATAAAAGCTCATGAGTCGAAAAATGTGATTTTCTGAAATTTACTCAGATACACAATGCACATATTTAAGTCTTAAGACTTTTTAAAAAATATACACAGAATATATGACAGGAAAATATGAAATGCAAATGATGGAGCTATAAGTAAAACCAAGTAGCAAAAAGTAAAAATGCAAAAAAAAAAAAAAAAAAAAAAAAAAAGTAGCCAGATGGCAAAATGAAATTTGTGACTGTGCAAAGGAAGGGGAAATGCTTCAAGAACACCGTGGCAGTTTAAGCCACTTACACAGTGAGATCCATTTCTCTGATATCCTTGAACTTGGTGAATCTTCTTTTCTTCTGGCAGATGTACTGGGCCCCTGCTATAACAGAGCAAGGAGCTGCTATCACTGGGCAGAGGGGGGATTATGGGAGGATGCTCTGTAAAGTCATAGGACCGAGGGAGTGGAGGACGAGGTGGGACTACTTCCTCTTCCTAAAGATTGTAGAATAGTCACCTTATTTAGATGTGCACACCTGTTACAGTTATTTATAACTTAAAAATAAAAAAAAATTATATTACCATAGCTACACCAGCTATAGATTTTAGAATTAAAGGGACAATGTCACACTAAAATAGAAGCCAAGACAGGATTTTTTTATTAATTACTACCATGTAGATTCACTACCATCAACAGCTTCAGTATTCAGCTTATGAAGGTATTCATTTCTGTTACCTACACTTTCTGTTGGACATGTATGAATGCTGAATCATCATTTGAAAAATTAAATTCTGTATCTTTTCAAGGATTTGTATATACATGAGTCTTTCAAAAAGTTCTAAAAACCATAGATATATTTTCACATACTTTTGACAACCATGACAATGTCCCTTTAGAACTGTTACTTCTAGCCAGACTTTCAGAGGAACTAAACATTTGGGAGCTCCCACAGTTTCAGCTGCTCTCGTGGGTGCTCTGGCCATCTGAAAACCAGGCTCAATAGGTGAATAGACAAATAAAGCAATGTATTTATTCCCATGAAAAGTGTGGTGGGGACAAAAAGCAAGTCCGAAAATCAGGGTTTATACTTCTAGGATAAGAGCCTATGAGGCTCTTATGAGGAGAGGAAAAGGTGAAAAATGGAAAAGAGAAATACTGGCGAGAATATAAAGACAAATAACAAATGAAAGTGTTAGAATTACTAGCTATCATTCTTTAAAATTAATTCAAATTGCAGTATTTTCAAAGAAACATACTGAATACATACTTCATACCTTATAAACAGTTCAAATAATGTTCATTTTTATCATATGTACATTAGAAATACAGTGATGCTGAAATTGTAAATATGATAAAACCATACCTCATTTTTATATTTAATAGCTGAAAATGTCCTTGATCCCATGATGCCTGTTTGAGGGGCACAGAGTAGGAGGAAAGAGAAAAATTGTTTTCACTAAATAGATTATAAAACAGTATAATAAAGTATAATCTGTTGCTAATACACAAATCATCAACTTAAGACATCTGATTACTTCATCATTCTCAGCAATTGTGCCATTATTCAAACATACAAAAGCAAATATGTTTATCTTACAAAAATGCATATAGAATACGATCCAATCTCACTTCCTAAGAGTTAAAAACAACTAGCTTACCTCCATCTGAAGAGCTTCTTTGCTGTTTATGTTTACTTAAACCTTCCATGACATCCTGAATTCTCCATAGCTCCTTCTGAATCTGGGCACGCTGTATCCCTGCTGACTCAGTCTGCCAGTAAAGAAAGAGCATATTTAAGTGACAAACCAGAATACACTGCAAGTGAAAAGAGGGAAAGGAAAGCTTTTCTTTCTTTTGACTATACCGCATATCCTTTCCCAATAAACAAGAATAAAATGCAATAATGACACCCTCCCATTAAAAGGTAATATTCAAATGTTGTCAGAAAAAAGCTGAATGATTAAGTCATTTATATAACATGAGTCTTATTTTGATAGTAATTTGCCAGTTGAAACTCCATTTAACAGAATGGCATCTACTCTTTACAAAGAAAATCAAAGCCAACTTTGCATAGGAGACCTGCACACAAAAGAAGAGGAATCATCAGTTCCAATTCTGAAATAATTGGAGATGAACATGGTGCTTGCAGGCTAGCATATAAAACGTAGGCCTATTTGCATTTGTGGTTACACGTGCATTGGGTTGCATAACCAAATTTCTCAGCTCTTTGAGTTTCCTTGTAATCTCTCTTTCATTACTGCATACAAAATCAATCCCTAAAGCAAATAGCCTTTAATACCTCACAGCATAAACCACGCCCATCTGCCCATTTCTATACATACACACACACACGTTTGTGTCACAGAACAATTTCCTTAGAAATTCAGAACTTATACTAATTGGCCAATCCTCCAGCGTATAGCACAAGCAACAAATAAGATGCATATGAAGGGTTCTGATGTTTAACAACTGAATACCTAAAATATATTTTTTTATTCATTTGGATAGAATGATTTAATTACATTTTAAAATGTTCACTTAAAAGAAGGGATTTGTATAAACATTTAATATGACTGTCATAGCAATTAAGGTCTGAGAAAAATTCCCTGCTTGGGACACGATCACTCAAACAGAAAGAGGAAACATGGGAAAACACTATAGCTTCAAAATATAGGAAAAGCTGAAGACCCCCGCAGAACTTATGAACTTCTAATTTCTCTTTATACTTTGCTAATGTACCACACATCCTCCTTCCTCCCCCTCCCCCCCATTTGTGCACAGTTTTTAAACAAAACCACAGAAAATGAAAACTACTTAAATGCATCTTTTAAGACCTGAATGTCTTCAAATGCCACACCTGAATTTCTCCAAGACGATCAAGTTGCTCCTGCATATGGTTCCGTGTTACCGTTACATCATACTCCAGTTTATCATATTCTCTCCAAGCTCTTTCCAGTTCCTAAGTATGTAACAAAAGAAAAGTATTGGATATGTACTTTGAAGTAAAAAAAAAAAAAAAGACTTTTTTTTTAATTCATTCAATATCATGAAACTTCAGGAATTAGCTCATAGATATTGGCAATAAGTATCGTGTAATTTTAGAGAATGTCATGTTTAAACAGTTTTTGCGTTTTCTGATGATACTGAACAAAATACAAACTAACGGCGTTTTGTCTATTCACAAATTGAAAAATAGGCCAGGGTGAAATCTTTAGAATATGCTGTTACAGTTAGCAGGCATGCATGTCTCAAGTTGTCCTTCCACAGGGTCAGAAAACCCACAACAATGGATGCAATTTCTCTATTTTATCACATAGAATAATAAAAAGATAGTAGCACAAGGCACGTGCATGTATATGCAATTTATTATGCAAGACTACTGTAAGTCATCCAACCCTGCCTGTAGGGTTACCAGTGAATATCCCAGGCTTGCTAATACGTCACTATATCTATGAAACTGGTGTGAAACACCAGAAGGAAGAAAATGCAAAAAGAATCCTAGAGGCCAGGTTTACCACCCCCCTTACTAAGCCTGGATCAAGCAATTTACTCTATTTAGCATAAATTAAAAAGGTGATGAGGGGAGTATATTTTGAATATTTCCTTTAGAAAGAAGATTTTCCCTCCTCTGCTTCCATTTTCCTCATCCAACCAATCCCTTTTACAACATAGTTCAGACAAAAAACAGTATTTCAGGGCCTACATCATATCAAGTTCACCACAACAAACCAATGTAACTTGATGCTGAAATGCTTTTTTGGATACACACAAGTAAGCAAACATGTTTCTTTGCCTTGTCTCAATGTAGAAAGCATCATGAAGTAGAAAAGGACAGTAAATAGAAACTCCTTTCCTTTCTTGTAAGGTTTTCAAAAGTGCATGACTTGAAAATCTTTGAAATACAATGGACCACTATAAAGACAGACCACAACATTATTATCTTTTCATTATGTAGTTATTTTTCACTTAAAATAAATTACGTATCTGATGGAATATCTGATAAAAATCTGTGTTTTTCTTTATTTACTATCGCATGAAATAGCTTATTTGCTTTATTTACTTCTTTTGTAATCACATACACATTATAAAAATACTGTACCAACTGGAGTCAGTATGCACTCAATTCCTGGCAAAAGCAAAATTCAAGAAAGACTACTCGGTGAATAGAGTGAAAGTTCCAGCTTTGAGGTTTGTTGGAATGTAATGAAAAATAACTAGAGACAAACCAATTAAGAATACAAAGATAATTGTTTAATGGTCATTGAGTTTTAACTGGCAAGAATGTATTACTTACTGCAGTAGCTCGTGATACTTCTCGACAAGTGCCCAGTAGTCCATTCTGCAAGTCATCTCTCTGTAAGACTACATTTTGTATGGCTGCTGGATTATCTGCATTCATTTCTATTTCCTGACTTGCTGATAGCAAAGCTTGCTCAAGCGTGTACTATTATAATAAAAAGAATTATTTTTAATGTTCTGCATCATTGCGCTGATTTTCATTTTATTTCAGTTATCATTGTTCTGATAATAAGCATGTAAAATAACATCCACTTTAGGTAATAAATACAATTGTCCTACTTTCTCCTTGTGTAGCTGTTGAAGCTTCTCTTCCAGTGCTTGTACAACTTTATCTTGTTCACATAGGCGGCTAAGTTTAGCCTAGTATATAACAGAAAACGATCACAGTTAGGATTGTTTTTAACATCTTTAGTAACCAATACATAACTTCACCAAATCATTACGAGAAGCTACTTAAAATTTTATTACCACAAAACATGAATTCTCAAGTTCTGAAGGCATCAGTGTTGCATGTTCAAATTAACTTCAAGAAACCTTCTTAAGATAGTACAAAAGTGATATTGTAACTTGAAATAACACTGCTCAAAACAGGACTTATGATTCTACAACTGGACCTTTACAATATAATAATACTGTTTTAATCAACATATTCTTCATTATTATAAAGAATATTGTATCATTCTTAATCCTTCCCATGGCTTACTTCAGGTGTTAGTTTTTGATAGTTACTTACTAATACCAGACATACTCTGCTCTGTGTTGGCTCCACTCTTGGCTTAGCTATGACTAAAACTGTTCCACTCCAGCTCCCATTTGGAGTAACTGTTCAGTGGACTCTAATCAATCTGAAACTGTTTACTTTTCTATTTGAACAAATTTTTGGTTCAGTTTGTGCCACTCTGACTTTTTAAACTGTACGTTAACACTGAAAGCCTGCTTTCTTTTGTAGCCTTAAAATAACTTGCTTAAATGTGCTTAAATCAGTAAGTCTACTCTTAGTTGCATTATGCAAATATGACTAGACATGCATATCTACGCATACACAGTATGACTATACATGTGCATTTTTCACAAGCAATCTCCAAACTGACCTTAATTATCAAGTCCCTTTTCTTCAGTAACTAGCAACTCAATACTTTGAAAGGTAACTTCCCATGCCAAATTTCAGTTTTGGAGCATCAGTCATATTTCCTGAGAAATTAGTTTTCTCATGCTTATAACTGAACTACATAGTTTTTTCTTTCTAAATAAATTCCTTTCTAGAAGCATTTATTCTTTGAACAGATAGAATGCTTAAAGTTTCAGTCTAAATTGTAACCATTCCTGCATGTTACAAACTTATTAAAAAAGTCCTACGTCTTCTCTCAAGTTCATGGACCAATTTCTGATGGCAGTCACCTATAGGAAGTGCATTCCAAACCCCAAAATCAAGGGAGAGATTATTATCGAAATAAAAAGGCAAATAGCAATATTTCCAAGGAAGAAGAAATACAAAGTACTTACATCAATATCCAGCTCTTCAGCTCTATATTTGTATAGTGCACCCCTACATTCTTCTTGAGTTAACTATAAGGAAGAATAATATTGCCATAAAACAACTTAATTTGACTATGAAAATTAAACTAATGTTTAGCTTAGAAGTTTTAATACAGCAAAACATCTTTTGCTTGAATGCCAACGTCACATTAAACAACACATATTTAGCCAGTATATATTACTGAAGGTAACTAAACGGAATGACAAGCAGGCTGTTGGTAGAAAGTTATATAAACAGAATATGCTATGTTTCTAATGCAAACTGGATATTTAGGAAGATACAACTCAATCAAACATGAATCACGTAGAAAGAGTAAACTGCCAGAGTACACCCAAACACAGTTACACATCGTAACGTATGTTTCCATATCTGCATTCTAAATACAGGGACTCATTCTACTTGGAACGAGTCATTCTATAGATCCATTAAGATCAAGTACATTCACAAGGAGGATATTCTGATGCAAATCTGAAATCTGAATGATCTAAGTGTACAAAGTATCTGTAAAATATATCACATCACATACGCACACCCAGTAAGTGTTGCCAAATACTTTTCTGCCTACTTTTTCCTATGGATGTCCCCCAGGATGGAATTCATAGTATGAACACAAATGGCAGAAACAAAAATTCTTGTTTTTAATTTGGACCTATGCAAACTTGTCTTCTTATGCTAGTCGGCATGTAAGGTATCCTCCCCAACTACTTTTATACAGCCCCTCACATTAAGTTCTTACCTCTTTAAGTCTGTAAATTAATCAGTAACAAGATTTAAAAATATTCTACATGAAAAGAGGCAGCTTTCCATTTTAGATAGACTGTCATATACTGTATCTATTTACTGTTCTATATAGTAAATACTCACATAACACTATCAGCCTTCATACTCTATTTAATTAAAAACATGTGCACACCGAGTCTCAACATATATGCTTTCTTTTCATGTGTATAGCAAAACTAGGTCATCATGGCTTAGTAGTGCAAGAAAGACTATAAAAACACAAGTCCATGTTAAAGGACATTTACAAATAAAAGGACTAGGGAAGGGTTAATCAGACAAGCATTCCAAACACAATAAATCTTCAACACACTTAAGTGTTTCATTTCAAGACGTTATGTCCACATACCTCATGCAAATGCACCTGGTGACAATTTAGAAGTATGTATAGTGTATTAAAACCACAGAGTAACTTTCTTTGAAATGGACATTTTATGAAAATGAGAGTTGGAATATGAAAAAAGCCACAGCACTTTTGCACCTCATGAACGTCATAAACATTAGCATTTTAAGATATCTATTCAAGCCCACACCGTTGTAGAGTTGTGTTTTTTAACTGTTGATTTTATCTTAATGAGAGAAAAATGAGGAATGGAAATATTTAAAAAAACTCATAAACATGGTCAATATAAATTTAAGGCCAAATGTCTTTAACTTACAGTGAAAACCTAGGTACATTTCACAACAGATTTTACATGAGAAAAATAAATACATCTTTGCAAGACACTGCTCAACATTCCATATGCCTTGCCTAGCATTTTTTTTTTCCCAAGTCAGTATACATATGTGTATTTCTTTTATTAAAGAGTCATTTCTTTTGCAACAGTTCAACCTTAATTAGAGCAGAGTTGAAAAAAGCTTGCTCATTTAGAATCCCTGTCCCTGCCTTCCTCCTAGAAGGAATATGTTTTACATATTCAGAAAGTGAAACATTTTCAAAGAATACTATGCATGTGCTAATTCCTCTTATTAAAATTCCACCACACTTTCAAAATTGCTGCCAACTTCTTGCTTTTGTCTGTATTTCTTAGTTTGCCACAACAGACACTGCTGGAGAGCTACTTCCACTTTCTACACTTCTACTGCAACATTTTACATAGACTTAACACAAAAGACTCTGAAAATGGTATGAAACACTTAATCCATCTCTGACAAAACGGCGGCTTCTCATTGCGCAGCACATCTATAAATCAGCTTAAGGCAAAACGCATAGAATGCTATCACACTCTACTGGAATTGTAAGAGGAACTGCAGTAGACAAAATGCAATTACACATTACAAGCAAGGCTAACAACGTCATAACCCTGGAAAATGCATTATAAGAGCTCCAACGATCAAGTTATTGAAATGTATTATATGTCACGTTCAACAAAAGCCTCCTTCACCAAATCGTCCATACAAACGCTTCACCAGAAGAGTAATTTCAGAGAAAGAGTGCCACCTACTGAACCACTGACACAGCTTGCTGCAAGCTTCTACAATTTTCCTCGACAATTTCCTACTCAAATACAAAAAAAGTCCATCTGTTAACATGCTGAAGTACACTGTGTGTTACTGTTAAGTAGCAGCACCTTGAATTCTGAAATGCAAACTGCACAGCGTTCAGCCAAATGTGTAAATGCAAAAAAGTAAAGTGACCTTAATTGAATCTTGCATTCATGCTGGAAATAATTTCTGTTAATATGCCAGTCTCACTGGTTAAAATGGCCACATTCATATTCAACTGATCTTCATTGTGAACGTGCATATACAACAGAATTTAATGATTTTAGGTTGTTAAATTAAACTTTCTAGAGGACGAGATGTCATATACCATGTAGTCCCACCATTAGATACATCATCATGTATGTCAAAAGCCAATACCAGATGAATAATGAAAGTGGATAAACCCACCACGATGGACACGATACAAGACGTCTTCATTGGGAAATTTCTTCTCAAAGAAATGTAAATTAGGCAAATCTCCCTCTTGAGACACGAGCAGTTAAACCTATCTAACCTGCCAATATAAAACACATTTATGTGAAGGTATGACTTCATTATCTTATAAGCTATTTTCGGATTCCAATAGCCATTTTGTCTCAATAGCTACATGGCAGCAAGTTTCACATCCTGAGAGGACACTAAGCATCTCTGCAAAATTATGTCACTCAGGAGATTAAAACAGGATAAAATATAGGACATTTTGTGGGAAGCATAATACTGAAGTCAACCATGATTTATTTATTTTTAATAATTCTAATAATAACAAAAGGGGTAGCATTTTAAAGTACCGAGAACAGATATCCAAGTTAAGAAATGGATGTCATCTTGCTGAACTCAGATTTTCATTTTCTCCCCTTTAGTAAACACATACACACGTAAAAGGAACTGAGGTTAATTCTCTCTCCCCCTTTCCCACTTTAGAGAATGAGATTAACACTCCTCACCCCTAGGAGTGTTAAAAAAAAAAAAAATGTAGAAATGGGTCCAGGCTGCAAAAAGCCTGTATTTTTCTCATCTGTACATATGGAATCAATGCCCTGGCTTACACCTGCATACTTACAGTACAGTGTGTAGAACAGAGTGATGCAAGTCAAAGTGATTTAAATAATTTCAAAGTGTTGAGGATTGAACAATTCAAATAAAGGTTTTCTAAATAATACATTTGGAGTAGTATAATTTTTAATTATGTTACTAAAGAACCACTGATTGTTGTAAACAAACAGGTCGCAAGACATTAATTTCTAATTAAATACAAGTTTTTTGCTTTCTTTACTTAATTCTGAATGAACTAAGTCATAAAACTGAACTGAATAGACTTAAGCAAAGGAAGGTCCTTTCTGTACCCGCAGGAATGGTTCTAGTAAACAAAAACTAGTTCAACTTGACAAGAAAATAGATTTATATCACTTAAACAGAGGGTTCTCCCAATTGCTGATACTTCTTTTAAATTTCAATGGCAGAGAGAACTGATGAAAACAATTTATATTATTCAAATAAAAACTTACGTTACTTAATCTTTAAAATAGGCTACCAGAGTTTTAAATGTGTTAACTTTGCATTACAAAAATTTAGAAGACTATTTAAGCAGTGAAGTTTTAAGTATATTTTTATCCTTTCCAGGAAGTCAGTTTATGCAATATTTTGTAAAGGAAACTGTCTGCTTTGTCTGTAAAAGCAGGTCTTGGTGTTCTCTAACACATGGGTTCTTCTGCACAAGCCTGCCAACATATCGCTCGAACTCTTACCTGAAGAGACCACATCTCTAGTGACAAAAGGTTACTTAATCTTTGTGACCCATTAGATTTACCATTTCTCTGACAAGGATCTCAAAAAAGATGCTTATTCAGTGTCAAATATGAAAGAGTGGCTAAGTCTTCAAGGTGAAGGCAGTACTTTGCGGTAATACTTTAGCAGCACAGCTTCATCAAGACAGCATTTTGAATTTTAGTGGTATTTCTAAGTCTAAGTAGCTGGGCAGACCAGACCAGGCACAGCTGTACCTCTAATGCATCTTGAATAACATTTCAAGTTTTATCCTGACACATTCAAAGCACCTCTGATCATTTTAAGTATGCTGATTTATTTCTCTGACATACTCTAAAACAGAAACTTGATTTTCTTTTTTTTTTTAAAAAAAAAAAAAAGTTTACAACAGTGAGGCTTCTTTAAAAAAATAACAAAAATAACAAAACTGCCTTCATTTAGGACTTGAGGGCACCTTACTTCACCCATTCCTCTCCAAATGGTTCCTTCAGGTTATGTGTTAAAGCTTCTGTTTTGCACATGGGAGCACACACTGGATGATTCTGAAATCAAAGGCACTCAAAGCATATTCCTTTACTCCTTTGGAAAGCTCAGAAGTCTCTAGCTTTTTTTTTTTTTTTTTTTTTTTTTTTTTAAATCTCAAGCAAATCTACAATGGCGAGTGGACTTCCAAAAAAAGACCATCCATGAAATTAAACTCCAGCTGTTTTTTGTACCTTTATTTACCTCTTTTTTTTTTTTTTTTTAATTTTGGCTCATAAGGACAGAAATGTGAGCTTAAGAGAGCTGCTCCCTTCTGACTGACAGCCAGAATTGCATACTTCATCTGCTGCAAAAAAGCACCAGCATTTAAGTAAGAACAATATCTTCATTGCAGTTGTGGCTAGAAACTTCTAAAACATTCTCTAATATGACAGGATCCATTGAGCTAAGCCCCAGTAAGCCTAAGACACTGCAGTGCCAATGGATATGTATTGGCCATGCTCATAAGTTAATGCAGGTCTCAATTCTTGTACAATATTTCCATTCACATTTCTGATTCTTCTTCCATCTTACCATTTACAAGCATCACTAGATACTCTGTAAATGTGCACTGTTAAGTCTGCTGTGACTTTATTAACAGACACTGCCTTTTGGATTTACAGTCCCCAGATCAAAGTAATTTTGATCCATCCTTTCTTCGGTAGCTAAAGGCTTGTAAGGTGCAAACAAAAACCTGTAAATCCACTTCCTAGAATGAAACAAAATTGCCAGAAATGACCAGGTAAACACCACTCACATGCTTTTGTAGTGGTCAAAATAAAGAAGCACCTTTGAACACTAATAGCATAGGATCATGCTAAGACAGATGTTGGAAGCTTATTGGAAGTTTTATGAACTTACTGGACACCTGCATAAGACACCAACTAATTAAATAGTCCAGACAGTTATTCAAAGGGGTACATTTAATACTTAACAACAAAAACGCAGCAAAAGCCATGCTAACGATATTGCAGCATTTTATAAAGCATGGATGACTTGTGGTTTTCCAAAGCAAATAAGAGAAACACCAATGTTATGAATAAATCTGAGGAACAACCAAAACTGTCACTAAGAAAAATTTTCGCAGATGATAAAGCAATTTCATTCACTATCCAAGACCTTACTTGCTGGTACAGTTGCGGTCTTAGCGCCGAGTTCTCAATCATAGTGTGAACCATGGTGATTAAAGGTTCATTCTCTTTCATCTATTTCAAATCAGGAGGAGCATACAGCAAACATCAGTTTACAGCATGGCTAGATTTGAAAGACGACACTGTAAAATATAGCCTCTACTTTAATTTTTTCTAATAATGCAGTAGATTACATTTTACCCCATGCTTTTTATATATATTCCATCATTCAGTAATATCAAACATCTGACAAATTCAATGATAGCAAACAAATGCAGCAAAACCACATAAAAATACTCAAACCAACGAAATGTTAATTGACCAAACCTCTCCTTTTTAAAAAATAAGTGCTTAAAATAAGCCTGGCTTTGCAAGATATGGAAATGAAAAGTATTATTGGATTATTCAATAAGAACATTCAAACCTTTATTAAAAATCCTTTAAATTATAGTTTTAATAACTCAATGTACATTAAAAAGATGTAAGCATCCTCTTGGAATACTGAAGAAAGGTTTAGCCTTACGTTCATGTATCACAAAATGCCTTTATATACTGCACTGTTTCATATACTTAGGAACTTTGAATCATTAGTCTTTGCATTTATCCACCCTCATATATAGTGTGCAACTACTTTGGGGCTTACATTTCTGAGCTGGTCAGACATAATTTCATATAATTTGTATTTATTTCCAAGTGTGCAAATGAAAAAAACAGGTCCACTGGTTACTACAGTAAAAACTGCTTACATCTAGGATTTCAAAAGAGTATGCAAAATATACTAGCACTGGATTTTTCATTTTAAAAATAGACCTTCCTAACACTAAGTGAAAAATTAAGAAAACTTAGCTTTCATCTCCAAAACTGCAAAGTAACCTAAAAAACACTATCCCCCTACTATTTTTGTTAGGCACTTTAGGACCTATTTAACAGTAACTGCTTCATGTATGGTTATGCAGGAAAGAAGAGTGTTGTATGTGTGTGTACGGATATTTATGACTGTTCACTCTGCTTCTGTGTGTGTATACACACACCATAAATTTGCTTTGCAATGTTTAGTTTCTCAGATTGAAAATGCTACAGAAAGCCAGAGTTTTTGATGCCTTTAAGAATTTCTTGCCTCTATCTAATGATTTTAATTATTAAAAAAAAAAAAAAAAAACAAAACACCTAGGTTGTACATCTGGAGAAATATTTTTTTCTCCTTATAGGAAACATTTTTGTTGTGTCAGATACAGGACTTTTTGTTGTTATTGTTGTTTTGCTTTGTTTTTTTTTCTTCTTTTTTTTTAAACATAGTATGATCAGGTGGTAAGTTAATTGTTCAAAAAGGACAATTTTCTTAGGAAGGCAAGTTTACGATGCTCTGTTTGTGTAAGGCAGGGAAAAAAAAAAAGCAAACAACTGCTTCCATTTGCTTCATCTTCTACAGCACTACATAAACAAAAATAGAACTCATACAAGAAGTTGTTCTCCTTTACAATAAAATTTTGCCCAGAAAGTGGGTGCATTTGGTGATACCAAAAGATATATCAATAGTAAGGTCCAAAGCCAAGCTATCAAACTACAGACAACTGAAATATTTGTAAACATTAAAATTACTGGCTGAAATGGTTTATTAGCAGTATGCTGGTTTGCAAGGATTTTTATTAGGAGGATTTCAAGAGCTTAAGCCTATTCAACTTTTTTTTTTTTTAATATTTTTCTTTTGACTGATAACAGACAGTGCCAAAAATAATTTCTATGGAACTGTTAAGAGTTTTTTCATCCACATGGGAAAAAAATGAAAAGCGTTTGCTCTAAAATTGTTCCGAAATAATGTTTTGTCCTCCAGCCAGCTCCAGCTTCATCTTATATGACCTTCTCCGGTATTTTTACTACCACTGGCTCTTAACCACGCTTACTTAACACTGTCTGAAGACACCAGTTACTTCCAGAAAAGTTCCAGTTACTTAAGAAATGAGATCAAAAAGCAGATCGATAAAGTAAAGCCAAAGTATCTTCATAGCAGTCAAAAATATCCAACCTTTTTTTCCCTTTAGGAAATCAATGCTTCAAAAAAAAAGACATTTAACTATTGAGACATTCGTGAGAGAGTATATACCTATCACATATTTGTTAACTAAAGCTAGCACACACAAGGCGATGTGCACTGCGCAAAATTCAGTGCAGCTGGATACGGTGGCAATGCTCTCAGGTAAAGAGAACACCTCTTTAGTGCTCTTAAAGCATTACCAACAGGCTACTCTCAAACAGAAGCTGGACACTACTCACATTGAATAAACTTCTACGTAGGTCAAGGAAAAATGCTTGTTCATAACAGAAATCAGCCAATTTCCTCTCACTTAAAAAAATCTATTTTGTTTCTCAAACTTCTGTATAATAAAGGGGACCTCTTAAATCCTGTAATACGTTTGTTGTCTATAGATGTCACAAAAATCTCTACAAATTGGAATTAAGATTTTCTTTACACATAAGCAAACCGAAGCGTAAACTGCCTGATGCCACACAGCAACAAAACCAAATATAATCCGGCAGTCTTAGTTTTCTCACTCAGCCATTCTAGTAAATACCTGTTTCTCCCCAGTCACTATCTTTGCTTTTCTCTTCACTGATGTAGGATAGAAAAGCCTTTCCCAGTTGGAAATACTGTAAAATGCCTCTTTGACATGTGATATACCTGAACAGCTCCATTACTGATGAGATAGGATCTGACTGGATACTTTGTGTTTTAAACTGTAAACCCAAGCCATTGACAACTTTTTCTTCCTGCCTCTCCCTAAACTCTCTGCTGCACCTGATAACACCCTAGGACTGACAACACTTCAGTCTGTACTGTTCTGGTGGCATCCATCAGCTGAAACAGCGGCTCCCTATCAGGGCAGCTGACCTCACTGACGAGATAACACTGTATGCTATAGGTGACAGACTGCACTCAGCTTGGCAGTTTTATCTGTTTCTTCTCAAACTTCCTGAAGGTTAAAGTAGCTGTAACAGGACCAGCCCAAGCTTTTCTTCCTGCCTTGCCTCTGCTCTTTACTTCTCTGTGCAAAACAAAGAAGGAAAAAGCAGTCTTCCTTCCAGCAATGCTGCTTCTGTGCAGTCTTTTTTCCACACAGCACAGCCCCTGTCCTTGGGTCTGTCTTGTTCCTCTAGAAAGGAAAAAGGAAAAAAAAGAAGCAACAGAAAGAACAAGAGTGGCAGCAGGGTCACCTTGCTACCCTTTCCAAGTAACTTGAAAAACACAATTAAGAGTAGTAGTAACACAAAGTGCTGCTAATATAGGACACAGAACTTGAGGCTGAAACAAGAAATAGGTACAATACAAGATATGTGGCAACCCTATCCAAACATCCATTGCTCTGTTCTGTCCTTCTCTAATTTATGACCTTTTTCCAGAACCACCTTCATTATCCCACAAAGAGGGCAGTGAAGAGGAGGAAACAGGAGCAAAACATCGAGACAGTAGGGATGCTGGCTATTGGACCTTCACTCCTTTATTTGACAACTTCTTGTTCAAGTTCTGTTTATTTTTTACACACCCCTTGGAAACCAAAAGAAACCAAAAAGTGAAGGTACCAGAAAAAGTGAAAGAAATATACAAACAATTTAACACCTAAACAATATACATAAATAGCCATTTCAACAAAGACTAAAAAAATAATATGTAGCAGTGCTTGTTAATGAGACAAACAAGCCTGGGATAGGCTGAGGTCACTACAAGAACATGCACAGAGAATTTGAGATAGCCTGAGTTCACTAGAAGAGGATTTTTTCAAAGAGCACCAAATGCTCTGAAAAAAGTATTTGGAAAAAAGAAAAGAAGTTTTTGATACTATTTATTTTCAGAGATTAAATATGAATCAAGTGGAAATACCTCATTTAAATACATTGTGCATTTAAAAGTCAGAGGGTAAGTGATTATGCAATTTGGTTACAAATGTGGATAACTAGGAGGAAAGGCCTCAGACTAAGAGAAATTTAAGTCTTTTCTTTACAACATAAAGAAAAAATGATAAAGGACAAACTAGTAAAACGATGTGAGACACTACCCCTAGAAGCAAGGGTACTCAAAAAGTCTCAGAAGACTTATTTAATACAAGTTGATGGCAGTATTATACTACAATAAGGGAAAGAAGAAAAACTGAGGAGAAACTAGGACAAATATTCCAACCTGCTCTTCCATGATTTTATGATTAATATATTTTAGACTTGATAATGATTTCTTACTGTAAGAAGTGCAGTAACTTCTTGCATCTTTTGTAGCGGCAATTTTGATACGTTCATAAGATTTAGGCACTTCCCTAAATTAATTAAACTTATTAATTCAATTAATAACTTTATCACATTACATTTAATCTGATGCAAGTTAAAAGGAAATCCTTTGCACCACTTTGCACATTATACAAAGGCCATTCTCCCCTCTTTATCCTGTCTATTACACTGACAAGCCTTGCTAATCAAGTAGCAGCATGGAAGAGTTTCACATTTCACATGGAGTTGTTGTTCCTTGGCAATTAATTACATTTTTGTATATGGAATTATTCCCTTATTCGAAAACATCATGAACTGGAAATATTTGAGTTGAATTAAATATATCAGTCTAATTTAGCAATTAGGAAGGGCAGTTTTCCCTACTTTTAGGCTTCCTGCAGTCCGTAAAAGAAGATAAAATCCTTAGAAATGTATAGCTATCTAAGTGGATTGGTCACTATTTATGCCTTGTTTCCAAGAGATCATAGGAAGATAAAGTCACTGGCAAATACGCACTTGCACGTACATGTGTGTTGAAATACTACCACTGGAATATAGAGGACATAAAGCTAACTATTCTTAGAGCTTCTAAGTGCAATGCTGTGAATTATGCAATGCCGTTCTAAGTATTCTTAGAACTGTTAAGTGCAATTTTATTAGTAGAAAGAATATGAGAAAAAGCACTCAAGAATTCCGTATTTTTTAACTAACAGACAGGTATGTGCTTATATTTTCTTTAAGCTCTTATGATTGTCTTTTATACGTGCTGTTGAAAATTCACTATTTAAAAACTTCTCAAAGACAACTTGCAAACAAGTCCCATTTGATCATGCAACAAAGACGTAAAAAATGTGGTAACTGCTCCCTTGACAATAAAGTAAGTTGGCAAAGACAGACTTATATCCTCAGACCAAAAGTTAGCAGAATTTATAAAGAAGATCTTATATGAATCTTTAAGAAATTGCTGAGTACAAGGAGAAAAAGCCATTAACCACACTAAGATTTATCTAAAAAATTTCTACATGTTTGACTTCCCTTTCATTTTATGTCCTGTGGAAACAGTTAATTATTCTCAATTTAGAAACTAAAATAATCAGAAGCACTGATTTTCTGCAAAATGTATGAGTATCATATGAGCTTGGAAATATAGTACCACTTTGGTTAACAGTTGTAAAATGCTACAATTAGTGTAATTAAAGGAAGGATATGAAGAACAGAAAAATTAAGTGGAGTACTTGGAAAAGTTTAGTTTGAATTTATTTTTTCCATCACATGCCAAGTCTATAATAAATTAAGATACTTTGTGCTACCTAAAATCATCATGTATTAAATATCCAACTTCATAAAAAGCACTAAAAATCATTCTCCCCAAATATTTCCAGCTTGACAAGAGCAGGCAAAAAGCATTAAGAAATGTAAACACACAAGAAAACTGCAAATCCCACCTGATGATCCAAATATATGGCATTCCTTTGAAGGTGATGCGAAAGAATCTCACTCTAGCAGGCAGCAGTCAGAGGGAAAAAGGAAGGGAAGGGACAGAAGGTGCAGAATGCATGAAAAGAGTTTTTAAAGATGTAAACTAGACAGTGATCTGTTTTATGTAGAAATACAATGCCTTTTTTTTAAATGATCTATTAACAAGTTTTGACCCCAAAACAGAAGCAATGAAATTTCGCCATGAATCAGACTATGAACTAAATACTACGTCAGATTTTGGTTTTACACATAAAATATAGTATGCTCACATGAAATGCCTACTTAGACAACTATAGACAAATGCCTACACAGACAACTATAAACCCCTTTGATAAATCTGTTTTAAACATATCCTGATTTTTGTACAGAATTCATTAGGATTATATCTGATACAAGGCAATATAAACAATGAAATTAATATCACAATCTTTCACTGCTATTTTTGCTTATAACAGCAATCAGTTAGAAGCCTGTAACTTTAAACTAAACTACAATACATTTAAAATATTCCTATGTCATTTTAACTCAGCTAATATCAAAAAGCTATGAGCTAAAACCTCCAAGGGTTAATAGCAGAACATCACATACATAAAGAGACAACCGTAATCTATTCTACACCCACAGTAGTCTGAGAGTTTTGCACTCAGGGTACAGTGCAAACTGATTAATGAATAACTAACAGTTAGTGAGAATGGTACATGACACACATTGCTTTATAGCTGACCTTTGGGCTGCTGGCCTCAAGTTTTAGTTGCATGAGCTGTGCTAGTGTGTGTTCCCGGATACTACTCAGTTCAGCTTGCTGCCGTCTCAGCTTTATTAGCAGCAGCGTGAGCTCCTCTGGCTGAAGGAGTGCAGTGTGAGAAGCCAAAGAGTAGAAAAAAGGTTAATTGGTATCCTAAACAACACTTAACTAAAATAAGGGTTCTTAGAATCTTTCTCACAAAACCTTTTTATAGCGATACAACAAAAGATATACCATTTTCCCAAACTGACCGCTTTCAAATATATAACAAAGAGTTAACTTTTAACTACTCAAAGTAATTAACACTGCAAATGCCATAAAAATCAGAGCATTCTGAATAAAGGACAAAATAAGTGGGGATTTTACAGGAGAAAGTCTATGTAGCCCTCAAACTTTTTCTGACATGCGTATCAAATTGAAGATACTGACTTAAATGAAGGGAATTAATTCCAACCCTTAGGATATCATTAACTGTACACAGACAACCATTTGAGCTTGGGGAAAGAATCAGAAAGTACCCTCAGAAAATTTAGGTTTCTAAAACAGTTCTTCAAATTTCTGCATCAAGATCAAGAGTAAAAACAAAACAAAACAAACAAAAACAAAGATAACTGAATTATGTCAGAAACAAGCATCTTTAACAAACAAAAAAAAGAACTATCAGGGCAAAAAAAAAATAAATCAGTCCCTCCTTCCACAGGTCTGAGGCATTAATTTTTATGACTAAGAGGTACAATACAGCCTTAGGAAGGGATAAAGAACAGTATTTTAAACCCAAGATTATATGAATAGAGTTATACACAAACTTTTTTTTTTTTTTTCCTAGGTAATTCTACAAAGCTTAGGTCAGTTTGGAAAAATCTACCTGAACCATTCCTGGGAACCACTTCTATTAGCAACACTTCAAAGAAGATGAAACATTATTAACATCACAAGTATTTTTGTTATGTTCCTGTTTACTTCTGTTTCTTACACTTCTTCAGATCTAAATCTTAGGTTAAATATTAATCCAACATTTTGATTTACTTACAAGTTCCGTGAGCTTAAAACAAAAAACAAAAAACAGCTGCTTGTTCCCTGCCACAGTCACAGAATTTCCCCGAAGAAGAGAATAAAATGGCTCCAGAGAACAAGGTATTAAATTAGTGAAAACCAAATGCCAGGTTTTTAGAATAAAGAAGAAAAATGTCTTAGAATAATGCATGGCCCTGTTGTGAGCGTGTACCTAAGTAGCCCACAAGAGGGAGCAAGGGATTTCCATGTAGCTTCAGTTGTCAAAACCAATTGCTTTTAAGGAAAACCTACACCAAAGCCAAATTGTCCAGTGGCCAATCTTGCTCTTACATTACCCTTTCAATACCTGGATTTTAAATATTTCATTTCAGAAACAATGCATAAAAATCTAGACTGCTATACAAGATACTTTCAAGTTCTCTCCAAAAATAAGCGCTTTCAGTCTGATATTTTTTTTTCAAAGCCCAAGAAAACTCATATTTGGAAAAAAGAGAACTGGAAGTAGCGTCTTTGAACAAAAGGAATAACGAATCATATTTTTTTCAAGATCAAAACTTTTTTTCATATGGCCAAATCCCAGTTTTAGCACATTAACAATCAACTACTTGATGGTACTTAAATACAATGTTTGCAAGCTTTTTTTTTTTTTCTTTTTTTTCTCAGAGGAGTCCGACCCTTCCCTTGACATTCACAGTATTGCAAACAATTTTTAACATATCTGTAAGTGCTGTAGTTTTGATATAACTCTTGGGACTCTTGCAACAAACATAACAGACTTTTGTTTAAAGAGCTACCTGCAGATTGTCCTCCTTCTGGCCCCTGTAATGCTTGTGTACTTCTGGTTTCTACAAGCAGAAGCTTGGACCTCCTTGCCCCCTACACCCTGCTCATCACCCCAATTCCAGTAGCACAGCCCAGGAGAGCTGATGGGGCCATGAACCCAAAGAAATGTCTGTGAAAAATAAGGTGCAGAGATAAGGCACCAGCTGCCAAAGGCTATCCCATAAGTTGCTAAAGATGCCAGAGATTCATGCTGGGAAGTGCAAGAAACAGGGGGTTTAAGCTGTGGAAGGATTAACCCAGGAGATGTTGCCCACGGTATGATTCACAGTCTGTAGTCTCTATTCATAACTGCCTCAAAGATTACAGAAAAAAGATAAACACAGTTAAAGAAATCAAATAAATTTAGGACAGTTTCTTTGCTTTTAGCCAAGAGTCTTGTTTCAGTTAGGGAGATGGACTGTATTCCCCAACATTATTTTGATGAAATACCTTCGATGAGAGTTCCAAGTCTATCACAGAAGAATGGGAGATGTTCAGAAGAGCATAATTTTACCAAATGCAGTTTTAGTATCCTTAAGATCTCCCCAAAAGAGTAAATGTTGTTTCTAGAATTTTCTTAGTAAGTATTGGAGAAGTAAGTATTCTGTGATACATCACTGAAATTCCTGAGAGGGTGGGATATATCAAAGTTGATTACAGAAATCCTTATTTCTGAAAGAAAATCTGGACTTAGTGACTACAGAATATTAGAATTCAACTTAAACACAGAGAACTTCTTTACTTGTTTAAAAAAAAAAATCCACCAATTAAAATAAAGTTTTCATTTAATGTAAACTCTGAATAGACTAAGATTTCAGTGTTGCCTCTTCATACTTAAAGAATTATTCTTTAACTAAAGAAAGAAGATAAAAATGATGTACCAAATAAAAATACAACTCACTGTTTTGCCTTGGAGGCTCTGAGGAGTAACAGGCTGTAAACTCAGACCTGCTGGCATTGACCTTCTCTCAGGCACAAAGACATGCTGTACAAAAACAAAATCGCACAGTATGACCCATAGTTATCTAGAGACTGAGCAACTATTCAATGTGAAAAAAAAAAAATAATTAAGCCATCTTCATGCTCATGACTTCATGCTCTCTCCTGACCTACCATCCATGACACTTCAGTAGGCTACCTCTATGTTTTAGAAATACCTGATTTCATTGTTCATATATAGTTAACAGCTATCTCATAGTTGTTGCCCTACTGACAAGCCCACGTAAACAACAGCAATCTTAGTTTTTCACTTATCATTGAAAGATGTTTAAAAACTTAAGATCTTTACATAGGTGAGGTGGTTTAAATCTTAAGTTTATTCTACTGATTTTAAACTGTCTCCTAATCACCTACCTCTTAAAATCAAGTTAGTGTTTTTAAGTTAATGGGAAAGGCTAGTTATGTAACTAAAAAAATACAAACAACTGACGGGCATGAAAAAATGAAGAAAAACAGGAGTCTTGTGTAAAAGACGCTAAATATGAAATGAAATACTAATAGGAAGCATTACAGATGGTAAAAAATATCAGAAAGCAAAACATGGCTGAAATGACAAATAAGCACATACTCTGTATCACTGATTATAGTGATATTTCTCAGATTTGCGAGAAGAATTGATTGCTAAATTTCTAGTGCAGTTGAGACTTAAAGGATGCCAAAACAAAAAGACTCCTCTGTTTATTATGGAACTAAATTTTTTTCAAAAAGAAGACTTAATAAATAACTGTACAATGTTTAAGCTGCTTTAAAATGAAGTTAAAGATTTTTTGCCTGCATCAGCAGATACTCCAAACTATAAGGATACCTGAGCTAAAGATTCAGGAAAAAGCTTCAGGAGCATTTTACACAGTCAACTCTAGGAAACCACATTCTAATTTTATATTAAACTTAAAGAACAATTCTTTTGTAATGAACTCCAGTCTCTTTAAAAACATGCATAACACAAGCATGACAGATAGAGCAGAGCCACAGACATTGGCACTCAGGTTTACAATTTTTAGTCTCTCTTCCACTGATGAGGACTAGCCAAGTTATGCTAGTCAGGGGGTAAGGTTTTATGCAAATGGTCTGATCTTCTTTAGTGATTTCCCTAAGAACTCCAAGGCATCAAAAGAAACTCTTACACTCAGTTTTCCATTGGAACCCAAGGCAGCCGAAGTTGTGGCTGAAGAATAGACTAGTAATATATGGAAAGAAATGTGGGACTTTCAGTCCTCTTGGAGTTCCAATTAGAGAAGCTAGAAGGAAAAAAAAGATGTCTGTACATACAAAAAATGTATTATATTCAGAACAAACTATTCTGAATAATTCACCTACTGTCTCCTTTTCTTCCTTTTAGAGAAGTGTAATATCACAGACAGTAATCTTAGGACATGCTTTGCCCAGCATGTTGAAAAATTATTATTATTATTATTACTAGTTTCTTATAACCATTAGATTTTTAAGTGCTTTTTAAAATCACACCTTTCTCCATGAAAACAGCAATACAATTTAATCTTCATTGCAATCAAATATGACAGTTCAACATGAGCTCTAGAGTAACTGTACACTTTCTAATAGAAATACTTGTAAATATGTTTGACTATTTAAATAAGTATTTTACCTTAGTATGATGCACCCTATGTCTTCGATCAATAGTGACATCTCCTCTTTGCACCGGTGAAGACACTTCTGACCTGTAGGTGCGCTGTGGGGAATATCCTTGGAAACCAGCTATTGAACCATGGGAAGGTGAGGTGGGAATTGAATGCATTGTCTGATCAGAAATATTAATCATAGTTTTTGGGCTACTTAAAGTACTGTGTCTAGTAAGAGTTGTTTGCTTATTGTAAAACTGGCGTTGCTGCCACTCATAGAGCTGCCACATTGTGTCGTCACGCATCGACCTTCGTTTTTCCTCGGCCGTTACTGCTCCCATGGTTCTGTCGTAAGTTGAAGGTGTTACACTACAGATGCTTTCTGGCCTTGCTTTGCTGTTTCGTGGCAGTGTTCTGTAGCCTTCTGGGTACCGTGGTAAAACTTGAGGTCGATGGCTTGGCATATTCCTTGGTAATGTCTGATAGGAGATTATGCTGAAACACAAATTTTCTTTTTATTAGTGGACAGTGTTAATATTATGGCAATATCAAGTCACTCAATACAGATGAGGTTTATCTACCTATTACCTTTTTTGAGTACTGAAAGTGTCATTTTAAAAACATGCAAAATATCAAGATGATTAAAGGATCACCTATCTTGATTGAATGCACTGTAGCAGCTGAAACTGGATCCCATCTCTGATGAAATACTTAACTAAATTCAAATGTCATCTTTTTACCAGTTTAATAGTCTAGTGATGACAATTATAGATCAAATCTGTTCTATATGCTAGATAGGTCCATTTTTTTTACGCTTATAATTTCTGTACTGTTCCAAATATAAACCCCTCTTAAATGTTCATTTTCAAAAGTGAGAAATTTTCCTGTTGCTTATCTAATAAAGCCTAAAGCAATTACTATGGATATTAAATACTCATTTTTAACAGAGTAAGAGAAAATAGCTGTAATTGTCAGAGGACAGAATTGAGGTCATAAACACAAATAAGGATTCATTCAATCCTTATCTAAAATTCTGATAAGTACAACTTAAAGCCATTTTCTGCTGATTGCATCTGTGACAGATACTTGCCTAAAGACAATGAAATGATCTCAGATTGGACACGATGCAGCCATCAGAGGGCAGCAGCTTCCAGCTACACCCTGGCAAGCCTACTTCAAACTGAAACCCTGGTACTACAAGGCAATAGGATCTGAAGTCAGTTCTGTGTGACTTCTGTGCCACAAGCACATTAAAGAAATGATGTAGGGCAAAAGGCAAAATAAAACAACATTATGTATGTTAGGTACTTATGAAATAACTTAAGGAAATTGATGATGGTAAAAAAACACTTTTCATTGAAAATAGCTAAACTGAGTATTTATAATCACCTGTATTATTTTGTTGATGAAAGCTGATACAAAAAGCTTTACATGCAAAGTCTGCTACAGTTTCTGAAGCTTTCCAAGAATTACTGAAGTATTATCTCCATTCTGTAGGTTGGGCAGCTTTCTAATATCACAGAAAATTTACAAAAAAGGGAAAACGGATTCTCAATCCTGCTCTTTTGTTGCAGAACCTACCTAAATGCCTCTACATTTCTTCACACAATGTATTATTAATGATAAGGGTTTTTCTCCATCTCCATACTAGAAAAAAGCAACCAGGACACTTCTAAGTTCAATTTCAAACTTTCAAAAATACAATTTTAGCTGTTCACAAACGGGTGTGGCAAAGTCTGATATTTTCCTGCAGATGGCTAGTAGCTAGATATGCTTCAGTCAGTGAAGCTCCTCTTCTATTTTATTAAGGGCACAGTAATCCTGCTGGATTCTTTAAATATCCGAGACAACCTGAAGAAAAGCTGCCCGAAGTTCTTAATACACAAAGACTGCAATTTAAAGTCTACATGCAATCAATTACGTGTATTCTGGAACATGTAGGAAGGTGACATATCCATCATTTATTACCAAATGAACAAAACTGTAAGAAGTCTGACCACCTCAATATTAAACCTTGGTTTACATTGTTTGGTTAAAAAAACTACAATTGATTCACCAATGTCCTCTAGATACTTGCAGAAACAACCTTCCAGTCAAATCCCAAACTGGAGAGTATTGCAGCTTGCCTGGCATGCAAAATGACTTTCACAGTCAATCAGGCAGTCATGCAGACCATGAGGTTGCAAAATATTTCTGCAAACACCATCATAAATAGCTCACTACTTATGATGAGGTTTACATGGGCAAGGTGAGGAGATGGAGGTTAAACCCTGGATTAGCAACAACAAAACAACACATGTGATACCATGCAACCTCTCCTCTGTATTTTTCACTTTTCAGGAAGACTACTCACTTTTCACCAAAGGTGTGTTTTGTTTTGTTTTGTTTTGGGTGGAGGAAAATTAACCCTATCCTAGCTGAAACCAGGATATTTACTCATGACTGGCTTGTTCAAAATTCATTCCATAAAATAATACTAAGTAGAATGATTTTGTCTTTAATAAAACAAACAGGGTTTGTCCTCCTTACAGCATCGGTTCTCTTTCAAAACTATGTCTAGATCCATGGAAATGGCAGATAACTTCAAGAATTAAAACATGTTACCATCATTCCCATTAATTTCTGAGGCAGTCAAATTACCAAGTAGACAGCCTATTCTGAAAAATCAGTAGTTTTACAGTGAACCCTCTTCATTCCAGACTGAGGATAGCTATCAGTTCTTATTTTGTACATAATTATTTAATTGAACCTCTCTTTGCTAACACTTTAGTACTATTAAAGTCCTAATTTTTGTTTTTTCGCAGATTCAGTTTGGTCCTTCATGATTGCTCTGAACGCAGAGTTATTAGAAAGCATTTTTGTTACAAGTCAGCAACTTCACCCCATAAAGTCAAGACTACTTTTCTCAAAAAACGAAGTAATGAGTTTAACAGGTCTTACCACAGCCTAATTATTCCCTCACCCCAAACTTTAATATAAACTGGAGCTTCTTCCTACTCTCAGTCACCAGCTACAGTTGTACTTAAATTTCTGTCTCCAGACAGAATCTGACAAAAACAAAACCAAAAAAACCCCGCACATTTTGAACACACCACTAAGCATTCCAGTAATTATTCAAGGCCACTTCCACACAAAAGTAAAGAAGACACCACGAGGTCAATTCTTCTTCAGCTGCTAGCTTTATGTAGAGTTACAGTTCAAAGTGGCTTGTGCTATCACTGCCAACCTTAAAGCAACAAGTGTTCTCTATAATCAAGAATAAAATATTGCTAATTAGTAGCATATTGTTAACAGTACTTCCTAGTACAATGAAATCAAATTTAGGGTTTTATGCTTGCTCACAACTGAAAAATGGCACAGCTATTCAAATCTCTATGGTTCAGATGCAAGTTTTAAAGTCCAATTTAAAAAAGTTTAATTGCATCATAGAACTTTCTCAGTTCTAATTATATAAGCATGCATATGAAATAAATGTTAGGTTGTGCAAGTCACTCTCTGTAGTGCAAATTTCAAACCTGATCAAGCTACTTATGTTGAGTACTTCATGAAACAACGCATTAACAATCCCTAATTATATTTAATGAAGGAGTAAATGCAGTGGGGAAAGTTTGAACCAATTTTGGCAAGTGTAGGTCAACCTAATGTAAAATTTTTGCTGTTTTGCAAAAACTGAAAAAAAAAAACAACCCCCATATTTTGACATTTGAGGAAAACAGATTTTCTGAACTTGGTTCTATTTGAAGCTCTAGTTCCCAGATCTTCAAAATATCTTCTGTGATACCATCTCCATTATTTCTAATCTAATGTAGCATTATTATTTTTTAATACTTTATTTCTAGAGCTTCCTGTTTGTAAGGCAGCCACAAAGCAGCGTCCCTATACTTCTGTCAGAGAGAAATTGCCATCAGCACAAAATTCAATATTGTCAGTCACTCACATGCAATTTTAAATGTTCAAGAATAAGCATTGGAGCTCAATATTAAAACTGGAAGGTATTTAATTTCACAAGGAACAAATTGCTAGGCATCAAGTTAGTTAGACTTCTATGACTTACTCCTACATAAAGCTTCTGTCTCTCTGATTAAAACCTGTTTAAAGTTTAAAAAATGCATGGAATATATTTAAGATTTTCAGATAAATATTATTATAATAATTTGTAAATAAAAACACTGTAGACAGGGCACTTTCAAGAACAGACTTTAAGAAGGATTTTTTTTTTTTTTAATTTATTTTTTTCAATTTCTTTCTGCTAGGACAGAGATATTTCTAACACCCCAAAGGGGTATCTGGCCATTTGTATTTATTATTAATAGTTTAATAGTTTATTATTAATAGTTTAATAGCTTAATAATTCAATGTTAATAAAAGACAAACAAGAAATCTGTTCTGAGTGGGCACTTTGGTCCTTCTTACAAAGCACAGCATATTATTTACTTACATAATAGGGACCGAAACATAACATAACTAGCCAGGATAGAAGTTTAAATATTATTTGGTAGAAAGACTACTTTAAAACAAACAAACAAACAAACAAAAAAAACCACTTAGCACTTACCCTCTTGCTTCTTCCTCTTGCCCTTTTCCTCTTTGTATTTTAATCCACTGTTCCAACTGCAGCATTGAATTAGTTCTCTGCATAACTCGTTCAGACTCCATATGTGACTGAATTGCATTGTGCTGCCCTCCATCTCCAGCATCTGCCAGGACAACTCCAATGGCTTTATTCTCAGACCCATTTAAATGAACTGGTCTAAAGTGTCCAGCCTGAACTGTGCTTATGGGTAGAGTCCTGTATTCTGATCCCAAAGGATTTAGCTTTACACTGTTAATTTTCGTTAATGGTTTATCTTGCCCAACTTTCTGAAATCCATATTTTTCAGCTTCCAAAGCTTTCTTCTCTTCATTTTTGTTCGCTTCTTTGTTTTTCTGGTTATTCTGTGCCTCTGGCTTAATTAGCACCCGATGGTTTGAAACATTATTGGCCTCTCGAGGTGGTGTATTTTCAGTGGTTAACTTCTCAACTCTACAAAGGAGAATATATGACATGTTATAATATCAACAAAACATTCATTAAAAATAATATTAATAATTAAAAAGTGAATCCCTTTCCTGTATACCAGGGTTTTTCTGGTGGTCACTATCCATATATTTTAAACTAATATCTTGTCTTTGAGAAAAAAGTCCAGGACATGTTTTCCCAATCATCACTGGTAACTTCCTTCCCTCCATCCCCCAGATTCTTTTTCTTTGCTGTTTTAAAAACATTTGTAACATAGTTTTGTTTGTTTGTTTGTTTGTTTTACAGCCAGCTTTATATTAATCCCCTTTCACAAAACATGCACTAAAAAAGAGGAAATAAAGGAAGAGTCTGAAAAGTATACGTTCAATTCCCAGAGGGCTGGACATTTAAACAGTAAAAATATTCAGTAGTTATTCAAAGCTTCCAGATGTCAACAGCCTTAAATTCAGACTATTTTTACGTCCATCTTTAAAAATGGTAGCAGATTACACTGTTGACTAGCTTGTGATTCACAATACCACTGCATTTAACATATAACGATATCCTTTAAAGAAAACAAACAACTTTTCATGGTCACTCACATCAATTAGGTTTCTCTGGTATGCTATCACTTCAGCTGTCATATATTTTAAGGAAAATAACTGTGGCTTCCCTAATTTTAGGGGAGAAGACAGCTGCTGACTAAGGGAACTGCACCACAAAAACAATGGTATTTTTAAACAGCTACTGCTTTACAGTACTTACACAAGTAGTCAATGCACATAATTTTATTAACTAATGTTTCAAAAACGTCGAGAAACTGCATCTTTTTCAGCATAAAGACATGATCTTAACATCCAGCTCTGATAGCGACATTTTTTATTTCCACTTACCAGAAAAACAAAACAAAACAAAACACAAAACAAAACAAAAAAGTTGAAACATATTGATCAACATTTTTGGGTATGAGATGAAAGGTGAAGAAAAAAATGTTTTAAATGTATATCTCTTTATAAAATGAAACTAAGAACAAAGCTATTTTAAGACAGTGTCAAACTAATCTTTCAGACTGCATGTTTTGGCAACGTTATTCGTCTTTACAGTTTTGTCCAGTTCAAGTGCCTCATCCATTTGCAGAGAGGCCATCACATATATTTAATTGACCAACAGCAAACGAATGACTACTCCACTGAAAAGTGCTCTAGTTCCAGATAAATACAATCACAACAGTAAGCATTTTTGCTTACCCAATTCTTGAACATAAGGCGAAAATGTATAACAAGTCCATATAGCTTAAAAAATGTGTTGGGGAAGTGAACTGCAAACAAGCCAAGTACTTGAGACATAACTCTAGTATATGTATAAAGGAGCTAAGACTGTAAGGTCCTTATGTTACCTGCTGTTAATGAAGTTGGATACTTAATTTTAGATGCATCTCCCATTATCAGTGTACTCTTGCTATGAATTCTCAGTGATACAAAGGGAATCAAGAACTCATCTTGATAACTACACCATTTCAAACAAACAGCAAGACACCGATGTCTGCTGCATATGGTACATGAGTTAGTGTGTGAAATGCACATGTACTTTGTGTGCATTTCATACTGTGATACTTCACATGTGTATATGAGATGTGATTTTCTGGGCATTTCTGACACAGCTGTGATGATCCCAATGTCTCCTAGGTATTTCACTACAGTATGAAAGTCCTATAAAATTAGTTCTATTAATGTAAGCAGCTCAAAACAGTCTTTTTAAAAAAATATTATTTTCTTCCAGTGATTATTCCTGAGCTGCTGACACAGAAGTGTGTACACATCAAGTGTATTGCAAACAAAAATATTCACATCAATGACCTAAAACATATATCTCTGGCTACGTGTATCAGCATTATTTTTAAACACTATTTTTTTTTTCTTGAACAACATTATTAAATGAAAAGGCTAGACGCATCTGGTGCTTTTTCATAGCATAAAGGGGAGGCTAAAATTTCAGCCAACAATAGCTTTTAGAGGAAAAAAACCCTTGATGTAGAACCAGTTTTTACGTAGACGGATACCTAAACCATATTTTCTATAGTTTCCAAGTATCAGCAAAGAAATACTATGCTAATCTCCTGCTATGCTTTAAAAGTGATTTTTTTTTTCCCCCAAAAAAACTTTAGAGTGTTGTCAAGACCCAAACATTTCTGACAAGGTTCCTCCTTAAGGATATTTGAAGAACAGGATCACCTCCTTATTCCATCTCAAAACTGTACTACTTAGTGATTTAACGTTAGATAAAGGAACTTCCCAAGAAAAAAAGTGAATTAAAAATGCCATTTCCTGCAATTATCAAGCCAAAAGGGATAATAAAATTTAATCTTTTAGCCAGCACTCAATAGTTTGCAAATAAATTCTAAGTAATACTTTGGGAATAATCCCAAATACAGGTAATATTATATGTAGCGTGCCTTAATCTACCCCCTTACATAACACTTTATATCAATCTGCCTCAATGTGCTTTACTGTAGAGAAGCAGTAGACATTTTATGGATGGAGAAACTGTGGTGCAGACAGAGTATGGCATCCCTCAGGACACTCATCAGATAGGTGGCAAAGTCAAGGCTTAGCATAGTGTTCTATCCATGTTATCATACTTCTCACTGGAGATCTTAATTTAAAAAGAAATGAAAAAAGAAAACCACATAATTGTTTTTCCATGCTACCTATGTGCTTTACCACTTGTTACTATGGTTATATGCAGCAGAGCCAAGCATTTCTATTTGACATCCTTTCTGATGGTGCAGTGGCTGAACGACTGACATTCGAATCGATAAAAATAGACTTTTGGGCTCACCTTCAACTTTGTGCATCAGATCAGTCAAATCAGTGTGAGCAAGAGATCTCTTTCAATAGCAAATTTTCCAAGAGGGAAAGAATTATCAGAAACTAGCATGTAAATCTAAGAAATATAAATCCATATTTATTCATCTCCATTTTAGTATCCGCCTCTCAAAGACATTCAACAAGACTCATGGGATATTCCAGAAGGATAACAGAGGAAAAGAGAGAATGAGCATCAAATACGTGTGTTTTGGCTTATAAATTGCATTCAGTATAGATTTCTACTAGAAAATATGTATGGAACAGTAACACAGGAAAAGTACTAATTTTAGCTCTTACAAACAAATCTAAAAGAATAAAATGGATGGGAGGGCTATGTAATCAATTATCAGATGGACATGAGGACTGCAAATGTACCAAAGCCAGCTAGAGGCACTTAAAAAGAAAAAGCCATGTTTTTCTAACAGAGCACTGTCAGTGAACCCCCACTGTGGATGCTGTTATGCTAACAAGTGCTTTTTTGGCATCTTTGCTTATTCTGTTCAGGGAGAATAACTACTAGGAGAAAAAAAAACAACAGTTCTTAGTACATGCTGCATCATTCAGAAGAATGAATGAGGGCTCTAGAAGCTGACAGAGTACAGGAAAATCATGCTCAAACCTAAGAGTGTAAAGAAATCAGCATTTAGAGTAAAATGATGGTTGATGGACATCAGCATCCACAAGCACAAGCAAACAATCAGTAATCAGACAACTTGACTGGGGTCTGCAGTGTTACAACACTGAATGAATAAAATGTTCTGCTAATCCAGAGAGGTTGTTTGAGGCTGTATTTTGAGTGATAAGCTTAAGTAGTTCCTCACTGATTACAGTATTTGTTGCTAACGATTTTGATAAGTTCCTCAGTACATTATTAAAATTGAATTTACTGCCTAAGTTAAAAAAAAAAAAAGTGTAGTAAGGAAGAATTACAGTCAATAGGACTAATTTGTAACTGTCCTTTCCCACAGTTATATGTCATAAGGGAGTTTTTCTACTGCAAGTTTCAGTTTCAGATCAATTCTAAAAGAAATGGTTGTATTTTTGTCACCTCATTTCTATATTATGTTGCTCATTATATGTGGAAAGAAATAATTTTTTATGGCAAACCATGCAAAAGAAACCCACAAGTTATTTAAAATATTTGTTTTATCTTTCTTTCCCCCTCTAAGAAAATCACAGGCTCAGAAAAAAATCAAGACAGATTCTAGCTCTGAAGTTATTTCAACCTGAAACATGCCATTTGACAAACTCTTGTGTTTAAGTGGTCAGAGTACCATAAGCATGGAAGTCCCTTAACTTCTAGATTAAAAGAGCTATACCTATAACAATTCTGATTTATTACTGGGAAATTTATATTAACAAGCACAGAAGAGTTCCTCGATGTCAATTTGCATAAATATTTAAGAAAGTAAGCTCCTAACAACTCCAGCAATTGTATCATAAGTAACTTGGTCTGTTAGAAAACTGTATTCAATATAATGACAGAACCTCTATGAAAGATAGAATTGAGAAACAAAGGCACTAGCTGATTTTTTCTTCAACACAAATCATTTATTCTTAAAGCTACTTGCATGCCAAACTCTATTTTACTTAGAGATGAGGTAATATGATACTTAATACTTAACAGAATTGTACAGTATTTCTTCTGGATAAGATCATATCCTGCTACATGGTTAATTTTAAGAATTGGATTGATAGCCAAAAGGTGGATTCTTTAGAAACAGATGTCTGAGGGATTTTTTCCTTATTATAGCTAACAGACATGAAAGTTTTTAGAGACTTCAATAGTTTTGAAATGTGTTCTCTCTCAAGTAATTATTTCAAGACTACTAGCAAATTTTTCAAATAGGTCAAATTTCTTCTGTTCATTTTTTTCCTTCCTGAATTAAAACAACAGGATAGTGTTACAGAGATGCTTTTTGTGTTTCTGTCACTTGTTTTGTCTGTCAGTAAGCCCATTCATCTTGATAACCAGGCAGGAAACTTCAGATTTTGCTGCTGAGTGCTTTTCTACTAGTTCCATGTACTACAGTGATTCACCAGGGACTAAGATAAGCAGCTGAAGCAATGTAAGTCAGATAGCAGGAGCATGTAGCTGGATGAAAATCATTAGATAAGTTCAGCTACACTGGGAATCCCCCCCATTTGCCTATACGCTATCAAACAGGCAGACATCAGTGCTGGAATAGGCACTGCAGCTGAAAGAAGAAGATAGGTGCGTGACCAAATGTTTGTGGAGGCTGGAATACCCTTAATTGCAATGGACTGCACATTGGTTATTATAAAGCAATCATGGAACCGCAGCCTAGGAAGAATGACGATCACATAAAGCTGGACCAAAACACCAGCACAAGATTACTATGCATCTTGATAGGCTCTACGTCAGGAAACATGACTGGACAGCTACATTACAAACCAATAAAAAAGTGAATGTTTACATCAACAAAACTTGTGATTGCTTATGTTCAAACAAATACCACAAGTAATACTGTAGCATTTGTCCATATATTTGAATTCACTAAGCATGTTCTATACAACATACAGAACTATTACATAAGACTACAAAGACACTTATTAAAGAGGTTCTGTCAGAGATGTACCTTTTTCCAATTATTTTTTCTACTATACAGATGGGCTTTCACATGTTCAATCTTACATTGCTGCATACCTCAAATGAAGGTTCTTTCATGGGTTTAGAAAGATTCAAAATGACCCACTTTAGTATTACTACCCCTACAGAGTGTTTATATAATCAAGACTTTTTTTTTTTTTTTTTTTTTTTTAAGTTCAGTGGGTCTGATTTGGGTTAACCATTTCTCTGTCTATAAGCTACCACAGCTATCTGCAAAACATTTGCAATGAAAGCCAATCCAGAGTTTTAAATTAAATGTATTATTCACTAAGTGAAATGGAGATATTTTGTTAAGGTAATCTCATTGCTTTAAATGCAATCTCTTTGAAGAGCTCTAAATTGAGAAGTTAAAAGGTGAAAATGCTATTATCGAAAAAGTATCAACGTTTGCATTCTTATCTCACTCTTGCTCATCCCTTCCCCACATCATCTATTGTTCCCAAACAAGAGGGGGGGTTACAGGAGTCGAAGAATAAAACATGTTTATATACAGTATGAAACCTTACATCAATTTTATAACAGTAATCAGACCTACCATTCCTCATTTCTAAAAGCTGAAATCTTTTATTTTCAACAATTTGGGGACAATAAACAAGATAGCTGACAGACTGAAGCATGTGTTATTTTTTTCTGAACTATAGAGAACAATGTGATTCCTATTAATCTACTTCACTATGCTATCCAATGTTAAGAACAAAATACTTCATACGATCTCCACCTATTCAAAGAATATTACAGTAGACAGCTAAGATTTCAACCTTTTGTTTAAGATTTGTTACTAAAAGATTGCACAGGCACCAATTTGGAACTGTTACTTGTTTACTTTTATCTGTCTGAAAGTCCCACAAATTGATGTAAAGAAAAGCTTCATTATATTTGACTGAGAATCTCTCAAAACATTAAAACATCTAAGATTAAAAGTATCTAATCATTCTGCATCCCATTTAATACTTCTGTCAGCACCATATCAGAACACAGGATACAGAAATGACGCAAATGAGTTAAATAAAGTTTAATGTGCTCACTCAAACAAAAAAAAGGTACCTTTTCTGTCTTTAGCATCTATGTCTATGGAATTTTATTTTATTTTTTAACTAAAGAGTTCTTAGCATTGCTGCCACTTATTTAACTCCAACATGGCAGGAACCAGCAGACTGCAGAAGTAGATCAACTGACAGCAGCTATCAGCAACAATTTCTATGCCATCAATAATGAGGAGCTTTTACATTTTGTATTGACGAGGTTTCCATTATAAATGCCATGGAGCTGACCCAAGGGACCACAATCAGGGAGAAAATGATTTTTACTTGATAGCCAGCAGCAGGTAATATTCCATTTCTGAGAACACAGGGCTTTCAGTGATGACTCACTTTTTATTGTCAACACATGGGTACATAAAAGAAAAGGCTCCAGATCAGGTAAGTGTAATTTTAATGTTTGCTTAACAATATAAAAGAATGTGCAGACTCACAGATGCACCTGTTTAATTTGGCCAGAACCTACAACTGTGAATTTGACACTTAACACAGGTTTTAGCCAAAGACTACCACCATTTGAGCTACTGTTGCTCTTCAGTCAGGAGGGCAGAGCACATCAAACACATCTGCGCATAGTACTTGCCATTGTACTCCTGATGCCCCTGGCTAAAGGAACTAGTCTTCCCCCCCTCCCTCCTCCCCTGCATTCAAGGCATCCATATTTGGAACATAATTCCAAAACTGTATCCAATATTGTTAAATTAGCAGGGAGTCTTCAATACAAGGAGAAATTATCTCAGACAACTGATGATCTATTTTAAGGTACATCCTTTCATTTAAATAAGTCAAAGTAAACACGTGAAAGAAGTACATTGTTCTACTGTTTTATCAGTCCACATTACCTTTTCACAGGCTCTGTCTGCACAAGTGCTGCATCTGTCATGGCTTTCATCCACAACTCCATTTCCTTTCCTGTATCTGTGCAGAAATAATACGTCCTCATGTTTGGATGAGCTGCCTGATTGGAAATGACATGGTCATTGCAATTAAAATATAAGATTCTGTAAAAGAAAAGAGGCAAATAATGTTATTATATATTTGCTGTAATTTCTTCTGTAATAAAATTTCTGAAAATAATATCAGAAAAAATACCAGAAGAAATACTTGTTATATTTCTTTTTCACTCCATTCATATCTCCAAAACAGCATCATACAATTTTCAATCATAGCCGTCTCTATATTAACATACCTGATAAAAGATCCTTAATTTTTCATTCTATTAAAAACAGCCTCAATTAATCATTAATGTAAGTTAATATAGTTAATTAACATGAATAAGACTGGCATAGATTTTTGCCATCCTAATGATACAGTATGTTTTAATTTGGACTTACCACAGTAAATGATGTGCTGTTTAGCAGGTCAAATGAAGAACCAAAATGAGCTCATAAAACACAAAAGAGTGAAGAGAGAACATTTAGTGGAGTGAGTTATATCATGATTATAAAGATTAACTATGAAACATCAGTCATAATAAAAAGTTTAAGTGATAATAAAACCTTATTTTTATGTAAAGTTACCTTGTACCTAAATAACTACAAAACTTTCATTAGTGGCTAAGTCTAGCGATGGTCGTAGTTTACAATTCTAAAACATCACACAGCATTTAAGAACAATGAACTAGAAATAAAGGACTAGCTGTATGCGATACTTATCCATTTTCTTATTCTAGTAATAATGTCTGTATTTACATCAGACTAAATACTTGAATACTCTGCTACTGTATTATGCAAAAGTTAATCTCAGAAGCTGTTTGTCAATCCTATTTTGCATCATAACTCAGTAAAACGAGTTCTCATCACTAGGTTATTGTGTTATCAGAGAAAATTAAACACCCCAAAAATCATTCCCTTACCTTAAAGGCATATTTGCGGTTAATATGGTCCTCAGGAGAAAGCACAGATATCTGAAAACTAGGTAGAAGTATGCTACCTAGTATTCCTTCTTCTTTCTCATCTGTGAATATACATATTTTTTTATTAGAGAAACAAAATATTTTGATATATAATACTCATATTCAATCACTTAACTGAAACTCTGTATTTAACAGTACATGATCTGTAACAAGATTTTACCTTGGAGAAAAATACATTAAAGAATCACAAAGCCAGATCCATTTGTTACGTAGGTATCTGTATAGTCTCATAAGTGTGTAGGCCCACAATGGTAATTGTGCAGTCTGTCTCTGCCAGCTCATGCCACATAATACATATCACACAAACATATACACTCCCCAAAGCCTGCTCAGCACACCAAAATCTAGGCCATCAGAATATGGCCATCTTTATGCTCTTCCATCTTGGAGGAAAAAGTCAAAAAAACACCTCCTGAAATTGCCAATTCTGTAAAAGCTAAAGTATCTCAGCTACTTTGTAGCAAGCAACATGAGTAGCATTAACTAGAGTTTTTCTGTGAATCATTGTTTACCTACAGAAGACTTCAAAACTGAAAAACAGAAGGAAGTTAAGACTAATTCAGTAACAATACCTGCAATCTGCTGTTTGTTTAGTAAAAAATTTGCACATCCTTTTAACTGTTCACTTATATCAGGCATATGAAGACGGGAGATTGTTATAATTCTCAGGAACAGTTAACACTCAATTACATTTGATTTGTCAGAACAGATGTGTCAGACCACTTACAAAAAACAAGCAAAAAACCACCCTTTTCACTGAACCCTATTTTACATACAATTAAAAAAACTTATAAATAATAACTTGACATTTTAACTGGAAGCCACAACCAGCTGTCAAATCCAATTATGATTTAATAGAAGAATAATTGGATACAATTCTCAAAGTCATTCTTAATTTTATTTCAGACACAGAACTTCTATTCACAACCAGAATCTTAAGATATGGCCATATAATGCTTGTCTTAGTTGAAGACGCTGCCCACAATAAATGACTATATATCCATGAAATTAAGACCAAATTTAGATATTCCGAAGTTTCAAGCATAGAAAATTAATACTGCTACAATTAAAAGAATTGTAGGAAAATACATGTAAGCAGAACAAAAGGACTACCTTATATGTGGATTTACAAATCTTCCTTGTTCTGATATGATCTACGTACTAAATTCTGAAAAGCCATAGCTTTCTTCTGTTATCCAGAATTGTAAAGCTCTGCTCAGCTATACTAGCATCACACAAGATGTTGGATGTAAAAATTAAGCTGTCTTGCATAGGTATTTAATTGAACTTAATATAAAAACATTTTGTATAAGATAAAGATACGAAGGGAGGACTTTCAGGTCTACTCAGAAGCATGCCTGAAACAATGATCCACCACTATTCCCTTATCCCCAAATATTTACTCCTTGCTAGACACACACAATGGAATATTGCTGTTTTTTGCTGTGTCCCAGAACGAATGGCAAAGCTGGGGTTTTCTACTTCATTTGGACTGGTTTGGGGGGAAACTTTTTTTTTTCTGCTGCTAGATCACACTTCAACTTGTTTATTGCACTCAGTAGTGCCATATAAAAGCATTAAGCATTTTTGTTCCACTAAACAGCTGTGTGTCTGGAGGTCTTTGGTCTTTGTTAAAGACATACTGCTACATTCCATTTCCAGATTTTTGAAATCTGTTTCCCATCAGAGTAGCTTTTATCTACTCATTACACTGCCCCATACCCATCTTTACTTGTATGCCATATATGAATAATACAAGGGAAAAACAGCAGATCTTCTGTACAGCTCAAAGATCTTTTATTTGTTCCAACAATAACTTTTTGGTATGAAAGCAGGCAGTCTTTTATCCTCCAGTGAGAGAGAACAACATTCTCTAAGCTCTGAAAAAGTACAGTGAAATCATTCTTCATCTATAAATTAGATTTAAGTATTAGCTGCTAACATTGTAACAATATCATAAAAGTCCAGTAAGATTTAGTAACAAAATGAAAAAAACACACCAAAAACAAACCGCAACAAACCACCAACAAACCAGTAATCATAAACAGACAGACAGCTAGAAGCACTGTTTGCAGTCTAGCATTAAGTGCATTGCTCCCCTTTTCCATTTTTTCCAATAACTGAAACATAATTAATACAAAAATTTAAAAGCACGGGGTTTAGAGTGTGTATCTTTTCTTCTAATATTAGTAGTCATTTCTAACACTTTTAAGATTCACTAAACATCAGTTTACTTAAAGTTTATAAGCTTTAACTGCTTTCTTGTAAGACAATAACAGCTAAAAGTGATGTTTATTATGTAAACAATTTAGACTGCTTTGCTTGTATTTCAGCTTATTAGGTACACTAGAATATATAACAAGAAAGATTAGAGAGCTGCCTGGATTTATTTATTTTTTTTCAATCCATTTGCAGCGCTTTAGGTCAATTTGATCTGTTCTTAATGAAACGACAAAGCAGCAATTTCTTTACAACCTTTCAAAGAGAAAGCCTGAAGACTTGTTTAAAATAAGAAAGCCCCATAAGAAAGCACAGAGTATGTAATGACCACCTAACTAACTGCAGTGTAATTGTAGAGCAATTGATGCCTGCATGACTGAAATGACAGATTAATTTTGACTCCACAGCTGTTTATCCACCAATGTATACTTTTCTGGGTAAAGAGACATAGCTAGATTAAGTTTCAATAATTCAGAATCTGTTAACTAAAATTACAAAGACAGAGCTTCTGTGTTTTATGACCTGATTTTTCTTGATTAGCACAGAAATACGCTGCACTTTAACAGAAAAGCATTTTAATTTAATCAGTCACGGCTTTCAATGTCACCAGCATCAACACTTTTGCCAATTCCTAGTGTCTCTTGCAAACTGAAACTCTCTCTTACTCTTCACAAGGCTGTGGAGTTCTGTTCATTTTCCTCAATTTTGTCATGCTTTACACTCTTCTTTGCTCTTAGCCTCCTTTAAAACATTATTATTGTACACCTTATTTCAGGACCGAATACGTTTCCACAGGCACACATCCTGTTTATCCTCTAAGGAGCACTACAGCCAATAATCCATAATGGTTAAGAAATCAGTTCTCCAACATACATATCGCCAGACTAGAATTGCAAGCAGCTTATTTTTCCCCTGTAAAATACATGTGACGTAGCTACATAAAGGTACTAACAGATTTCCTCTATGTTTCAAATGCAGCAGAGACTTCTACTCATATGAAACTGGACATTTACATTACAAGTATTCATGAGCACTGATTAGATTCCCAAAAGGAATCTAATTTCTCTTTCTCTTTTTCTTTCTAAAGGCAGAGCTTCAGTCTCCCTTCACTATACCTTTCATATCCCCATTTCAGTTACTTCATTTGCATGAGAAATCAGATTTAACTTGACATATTTACTTTCTAGCAACACAAGTAGTGAGAAAAGTACAATCTAGAATGTGAATGTATTAAAGAGGTGGTTGTGAATGGATTTGCCCTTTGAGCATACTTGACAGGAAGGAAGTAATTATATGAAATTGCTAATTAAGAAAGGAAAAGAAAAAAATAAAAGTAACAGGCCTGGATATTGGCAGCTACACAACTATTTCTTCCATTAAGTTAAGTAGCAGCTTATTTTTTCTTACATTTAGTAGCGAGTCAAAATTTATCTGCTTGCAGTGAAACTAGCAAACAAACCTTTCCTGAGCAGAACTTACCTCTGTAATAGAAGAGGCACAGATCAGAGAGCACAAACCACCGCTTCTTCCACAACTTCATTCCGGTACTGTCCTGTATTAATAAAAGCAATCACATAAGTACTTTTACATCTGCAAACAATAAACAGTTCACAAAGTAAACAGAGTACTACGAAACTGTGGTAATGTGCTAGTTTTCCTAGCTAAGTACTTATTTTAAGTACCTTTGACTTCTTTTTACAGACCTGATGCTGGAAACCCAGGAAGCCTGACTTTAACATGGTTCAAGAAGTGATGCAGTGGGAGCCCATTATTTCAGCATACTAGAGACTATAATCTACACTAAACAGAAACAATCTACACTTTTTTGTTAAATGAGCAAGATAGTACTTAAAAAGCCATCCTTTGCTTTATGAAGAAACTGTCTACTAAAATTCTAATCTTCTACTACTGCTCAAGTATCTAGAGCAAATTCTTTCCCACAAAGTTTATTCCTAAAGCTATTTCATTTTCTTTTATGTTTATAATCAATTTACACCGCACAACTCCGAATGAAGGACTGCCACTACACTGCAGCATAAATAAGCTGAAGCATTGCAGCATGCACATCCTAGCAGGATTAGATTTCATAAATATGATAATCTGCTCCAAGAAGAAAGGTACGTGTGAATTATCAATATTCTTTTCATGAATAGTTTTTCTGACAACCAAGAAGGATTCTATAATGAAATCCGAAATCTTGAACTATACTCAAGAAAAACTGTTGTTTTTAAAGAAATGTTTGCATCATTTTTAGCCTCTTATTTCGAACTTTGCTCTTTTTGGGGTGGGGGCAAGTTCTGAAGGATGGAAAAGGAATAAGTCAAGAATTAGCTATGAAATATTATTCAGAAAAAGTTAAAATAATCATCTGCTACAAAAGTCTTGATAAATAGAATAAGTAAACATTTCACAGACCCTTTCTTCTAAGGACTTCAAAGTGATTTAACAAATACTAATGAAGTCTAGAAGCACTGTCCGTAGCAGTCAGCTCCTATTTCACAGCTGGCAAAGCAGACACAAAGGGGGCAGAGACTGGCTTCCTCCCCTTACTGACAAGGTCACTAACTCAGTAGTGGATTAGAATGCAGGACCCCTGGCCCAAAGGACGCTGCTTATAAAAATCAACCTTATGATTTGAAAATTTCTAAACTTCTTCAGTACAAAGGATTAATTCAAACCTTCAGACAGGCTTGCTAAAGAAGCTGTTATGCAACATCACATTTCTCCCATCACTCAAAGACATCAACAGGTTTCTACATGGTCATGTACAAAAGTCTGTCAAAAATGAAACACTCCAGGAATGATCATTCTGCTTTCCTTAGACATAGCAGAAAGGCACAAAAAATGACTATGTGGTTCTCATATTTTATTTTTTTCTTATTTGGAAGTAAAACCCTTCTGTATCGGTAACTCACAAACTTTTTTCCTCATGATTCTGATTATAATAAATAGACAAAGAAAATTGGCATTACATGCAATGAGATACCACACCATGGGTCAAACAAAACTTACTGTACTCTGTGATTATATGATTATGTTAAGTCATTTTATTGTCAAAAAGAAACCTGCACATACTTTTACTGTAAATTCCTGAGGGATTCCTGTAGATTCCTGAAGATAATATCTATTGGTTAAACTCATGAGTAAATCAATTTTCATTTACTACTACAACATGAAAACATACAGCAATCATTCCTTACACAACACAATCAAACATCAAAGCATTTAAATCATTTTACACACAAAACCATTCCAATGGACAGTCCACTTCATTTGGACAATGAGATGGACTGAAAACTGGCTGAAATGCCAGGCCCAGATGGTGGTGATCAGTGGCACAAAGGTTGTGGTAAGTCTTCATCTGTGGGAATATTCAAAACCAGACTGGACACAGCCCGGGGCAACTGGCTCTAACTGACCCTGGATAAGCAGCGGAGGTTATGCTAGATGATCAAGAGTTCCCTTCCAACCTTAACAAATTTGCAATCTTAAAATATAGTTACTGTTTCTTCATGAGTTAAAGAACTGTACACTATAATGGACTTAGTTTTTGGGAAAGCAACATCTTTACACTACTTTGTATACTGAATATCCATTCTGAATATTTCACTATTGGATTGAAACTAGCAGGTAAGAATCTTTAGAGCATTCCACTAAGTTGATTTAGGTGCTTAACTTCACTTTCCACACATGTAAAACTCAATGCAAAGGACCTCAAAATGAAAAGCCAAACCATCAAAATGAGGAATTCAAAGGGCTCTAACTTATTCAGAAGTATGAAGCAAAGTATCAGCAAACTTCTGTTTCTACTGCAGGGGGAGATTTTTATACTTGCATATATACCAGAAAGACAGATTGTGTAACACTGATACTCATTCACACAAGTACCTGTGCTGTAATTTAGACTTTGTATTTCAGTCAACTTAGTTGATCGTCTCAGGATTAAAGTTGTGTTTTTTTTTCTATGCCAAGAAGTGTAATATAAATAGCCCCATAAAGCAAAAAAAAAACCAAAAAAAAACAAACCAACAACCTGTTACCCTCATGAATTTTCTCTCTCAACACTAAATGAGAATAGAGGCCACAAGAGTATCTAAACATGGACAAATCTACAAATCTACTACTAAACAGATACTTACTACTGAAAAAAATGCTAAAAAAATCTGTTTAGTAGTAAATTTTCAAAACTGACTCAACAGAACCCAGAAAGCTACTTTATCAGAGTAAGGAGAATAAATGACAGTGGATATTAAAAATTATATACAGGCATTCACATCTTGATAGAGTTTACATGACAAGTTCTTAGAGGGTTCTTGATGGACTTAAGAAGACATACTCCTAACATGACAATCAGTTTTGTTGTTTCTTGCAGAGTAAGAAAGTGCAGATGGTCTGGTACTGCAGACTAGCAAATCTGCAGGTATACTGTCACTAAACAATAAAGATCAAATGCTTCAGATTAGTTTACGTTCAATAAGAAAACTAAACTGCCCTCTATGATCATCAAGATGATCATCTTTGATTTAAGAAAACTATAATGTATATTGTCATTCCCCCATCTTTTCATATGTGAGAAATTTGCTTGATTGACAGTTTGCATTGAAAATATTTACTTAATTAAAAAAAAATGTTAACAGATACATCCTAAAACAAGAAATTTCAGAATTTCAAAAACAATATAATGGATCATATATCCTTGTCCCGTTATGTAAGTATGCCTCAAATTCATTTGTCTATTTACCACCAGCATCGGCCTAGACTTTTCAAGCCCATAAAGGCCTGGAAAAAAAATGCATATTTCTCATTTATATCACAATGTTGCCTAATAGGTAGATACTTAATTGAAATATTACATCAGTTTCTCCTACTTTATACTTTCACTCTGGCATTACCACAATTACATTTTCTACAAACATTTGTCTTCTGTATATTATACACCTTACCAAAAAGAAACCAACACCAAACAACCAAAAAAGCAACCCAAGATTAAAGGGGAAAGCGTACCTGTTTGTAGAGCCATCCACGTCTGACAACTGGTGCATTAGGGTTCCTCTTTATTGAGTTTGATCTCTTTCCAAAATTATGAACCTTCTTTGAAGATCGTGATGTCTAAATTAAAATGAAAAGGTTAAAGAAAATGTGGTATCAATATCTGTCAAAAAATTATAATGAATTTTCTTTGAGATCTTTTTCTATCAGGGGGATTACAGAATGCGAACTGTATTCCTTTTTAGGTGAAGAATTATGATAGTTACACTGGCTTCAAAATTTCTTCCTTATTTCTTTGCAAAAAATGTAGAGACAAATCCCAAAACAAAGATTTTTGTTGTTGTTGTTTAAATGATAAAGAACAAATACATATCTGACCTTCTTATCAGTCGGGTAGAAAATCTACCAAGTTGTAGGTCTAGTTCCATCCAACAGAACTGTTGTTAATTATGAAAAATTACATCACCTGGGTATGAAAATTCTACTCTTTCCTTTTTTAAACATAGGCCTAATAAATGAAAACATGCTCAGATTTCAACAAGATATAATTCACAGAGTTCTTGATGAGTCTTCCACTTTTCTAACACATAGGGTAACTTTCTAAAATTATTTCTTCCCCCTCAAAAACCTCCACACCATAAATCCCTTGGCTAGTTTGAATATTCAATATTTTACCTACTTGCACTAAGGCCTATTTTGAGTCTTTAGTCCTTAAACTCCGGCATTTACTTCTGCTGTCACTAATATCTTTTACATCCTTACAGCTATGCAACAATCACAGATGATTAAGAAAAGCAGGAAATATAAACCATTTCAGATTTCATTCTTCTTGTACTTGAGAAACACAAAGAAAGTGGAAAAGGCATAAAGAAATGCGCAGTGCTTTTCCAATTCACACTTCATTCTTTTCAGTCTACATTTAGAAAGTTTGTTGTGCAACTAAATCTGCTAAGTGTGTGTGTTTTAAATTCTGTAAGATTGGTGCCTCAGAAACCATGCAATGCAATACAGGAAAGCATCCCATTCTGCAGAAAAAGAAACATTCAAATAAGTTTTCTAAGCTGTGTTCTTGGCTCTGCTCCAAATCTACTATTTGAGTTTAGACAATATAATCTTGTGCTTCAGCTTCCCCATCTCTACTACTGAGACTAATTGAAAAGTTATGCAAAGTTTCTAAATAAGATGCTCAAATTGGAAGGCTAAACACACACTCAATTTTTGTTGCAAATTAGGGTATGGGTTTCTCTAGGAAAACTCAACATACCTCACAGAATTGCATTATGATTTATACATGCTTTAGAGAGAATTCCACAGTAGGTTTAAAATCAAACTGAAAGCTGCAATTTAAAATGATGTGCAGCTTTTGTCAACAATGCCATTTACTGAAGAGTACAATATAGCTTAGTCTAAAAAGAATGACATTACAAAAACTATGCGTGTTTGTCTGAAGTCTACAACACAATGAAACAAGGACTTTTTCTTTTTTTTAAGAATCGGAAGGGAATATAAAAACCATTTGAGTGCTTTTATTTCCCTTGGAGATACAGAAATTTGACTCAGATCTGTTTGGAAAGCAAGACAGATCAAGTGATTGAAAACCTAATTCAAACTGTAAATCAAAATCTTTCAGATCTTCATCTGGAAAATTCTACCAGTGCAAAATGGACATTTTTAAAGAAGCTAATAGAACTATGACATCTAGATGTAAAAAAGGAAAATACAAAGCACCTCTAACAATTCAAAGCACATTATAAAATTAATTCTATATCTATTCAATTAAACCACTAAAGCTCCTATATTGGCATGTTACATAAGAGCTGTGCCAAGAGATTTGGATCAGAAATAATTTATAACACTCATCCCTTCTCTAGCATTACATATTAAAGGGTCAAAAACTCATCAGATTTCTCCAGATGTCCATTACTTGTAACACGGTTAACACATGACTTCTGAAAACACAACCAACCACAAGTACTACTATTGTCACATCTACTAAGAGATTCAGGTAATTTAAATAGATTTCTCTTAGATAGGTCTGACTATAAACCATATTGACTCCAATTTCACTGAACTCTGAGAAAAGACTTAATGCATTAATTATATGTATTTGCAACTGTAAATACAAACATACATCAACTATCAACTAAACAGAACATGAAGTGATTTCTAATTTTAGCTAATACAGAGAACGGCTTAGAAGACTTCTGATTATTTTACCACAAGAGAGTATTTGTTCACAGTGATTTCTCAGCCTCCTTTGAGGCTGAGAATACAATACGTACTGTGGGATTTAAATATTGTAGGTGTATATATATAATAATTATTATCTGGTCTCAAACTTTTTAGACCATTATTATCCGGTCTCAAACTTTTTAGACCATCTCCTCCTCTTTTTATGTCTGTCATCCCAGACCATTCCACCACACGTCTAATATATCACATACTGGGGAAACAGTATGAAAGGAAATAATTAAAAATGGAAGGGTTCAAATACTTCTCACTCCACAGCACTGTAAGTACTATTCTATGCATTCTGAGGAATGGTCCTAACAACTGTGATGCTTCTGAAAACAGAAGCTACAGGACCGTGCACAGTCCCAGTACTGAGAAAGACGCTAGGAAATTCAGCCAGTGATAGTCACTCTTTCCCCAGCCTGAAGAAAAACACGAGCAAGGTTTTTGAACTCTGGACAAATCCAGAATAGCTGGAGCTGCACATTTAATCACTATATTAGCTGCTCTTCCCTCTATTCAGCTGCTAGGGGACACAGAATTTACGTAAAGCTTCTTTCCCATTTTCAGAACTGCTAAGTACACTTAAAAATGCTCTTCAACTACCAGAAAAGTGATCACTAAACTTACTGCTTCAGTATTTGAAAAAACAGGGCTCGAGAATCTTCTGCATGTAAAATCAAAACAGCAGGAATCTAAATTTTTGGAACTTTCAACTTCTGTTCAAAAATATGTTTCTAGTCTTTAAGGCTCAAATTTTTTTCCAAACCACAAACCAAGATGATACTGCCTTCTAGATTTTGTAGGCAATTTAGGTGCCTTCCAATATTGCAGTTTTCCATGAACTGAGTGGGTTTCTGCCTCAGCATTTTATTTTGGATTAGGAGGTTGCTTTTGAAAAAAAATCTCCCAATCATTCCTTCTAACTGTGCTTTGGTATGCATAGTAGAGAAAACTGGATTTATTTTAGGTAAGACTAAAATGTAAAAAGCACAAGGAACACTATTGGACTAACTTGAAGATACAACATGAAAATATCGTACAGGTGTTTGGTCCTGAGCACCAATAGTACCCTGCACATATAGCTCCTGTTTACTGTGCTATTTGCTAATGTAGATGTATCTCATGGTTATTACTCTGAAATTTCTGTCTAACCAGAACCCCGATAAGATGTGCACAGCTATGCCTAAACTAGCCATTTTAAGGCTGGACTGGCTTGAGTACTCTGTGAAATATCTATCGACAAACTGATGCACATTATTTATAAACAATCTGACATATCTCCTGTAATGTAGACTCCATTCCACTTACTGTGAGAAAACTGTTAGCACTGTTCTGTTGATAATCAGGGCTGCGATGAAAGAGCAGGGGAGATGAACTATGAAGGGGAACTGGCGACATGCCTCACTTTATGTACACATCAAAAAAAACGATCTCCCAAATTAATTTCAGGATATGTAATCATATTGGTCTAGGTAGCACTTAAAAAAGAGGAAAAGAGCACAATAAAAATGAGGAAGACTTCTTCATTTTAAAAAGAAAGTTAGAAATGTATGTATCTGTAGCCATAAGCCTACGGAGATCTTCCTCAGAGGTCTATGCTAGTGGTTTTAAATCTAGAAATACACTCCAAGCCAACACAGGAGAAACAATACTTTTTTTAAAAAAAAGTACTATGCCCAGGACTATGGTGTATTAATTGGTCACCATGCTTTATACAGTGGGGAAGAAGGAGTAGCAGTAAGACTTCTGTCTGGGAGAGAGTCATTTTTGTCTCACCTCATATGAACTTCTGAACAACAGTATCAGACCAATGAGTCTTTCTGCCACAAAACAAAAAATTCTTCAAGTGCCATGTCTATTCTGAATCAGGTAACATTCATGAAAGGGAGAATTTATTTCTACACCCCTCAACTGTCTTCAACTTAAGTTCTACCATAAACTTTACCTCCATTCCTCATTATCTTCCAACATTAAGCACATTCATTAGCTCTCTCTGCAAATAGGAATAAAAAAATAGGTGTTGTCATTTTGCTACTCTATAACCTACTTTCCTCACTGATATTTTATCCCTCCGATTGCATTGTAATACACATAGCCTCTACATACTATATTCAAATGTTGTTAAGACAGCTAAGAATATCCCAGTTGCGAGACAAACAATGAAAACGTAGATAAAAATTAGTTGTTGCATCCAAGTTGAACCAGTGGGCAACTCCTATATAGTTGTCTTTAAAAGCAATTTAAACCTTTAGCCTTAAACAGCCACCTAATAAGAGTCACCTAAGGCTGACTAATATTAGTTGTGGTTCCATTTAGCAATTACTCTCCTCCTAAAAACAAAACATTAAAAACAGGGCTGCAGAAATTCAGACAAGTTTACCTTTGAAAAGTGATGTACAGTAATTGCATATACTGTCCAATGCACTTATAACATTAATGATTAATGTAAAAACTAGAATAAATAGACAAGAGGAACGAAGAGTAGTGCAAGAAGTCCTTCAAAAGACAGAAGTATGCACAAGATGCTGAAGTGTCACTAATCAAAGACTGTAAAGAAATTAAAATTGGCCTGTAGCAACCTCAACTTCCTTCTTGAACACTGTGAAACAGACAGACTACTCTGAACTACTCTTTCGAAGGGAGAGTATGAAAATGTTTGTAGAATGTGTGCTCCCTAGATTGGAATTAATTTCCTACATTTAATCTGAAAGCGCTTCCTAGACAGCACCATTGTAGCTAATTTTCTGTGTAACTATTACTACAATCTGCACCACTATTACAACTCTTACTGCTTCATAAGCTGTCTGTCCTGCACAAATGGAAACATACAAAAATTGAGATTATGGATTTTATTACTGTTTATAATTAATTTGTGACTCCTTTTTTTCCCCCCAGCAACAATGACAGATGAAGACACTGTTTAAAAGCTAGACATCTTTTCTCATTAAATAACATTTTTCTTATGTCTCATTAGACAGCCAGAATCCTTAATTTATATTTAAAACAACAAAAAAAGGTGTTTCAAAAAAGCGCTTTAAGAAATCTTAGGATGTTTCTTTTCTACTACATGGAAAACAAATTATATCAGTTCTTTGAAATTAAGGAATCTGCTCAATTGAAAGACATTCCAAAATCTATTTTCTGTTGCAGGGTGGATTAATCTGCCAAAAAACACTTCTCGGGGCTAAGGTTTTCACTGGGTAGTAAAAATGTGTTTGTTTTTTTTTTTTTCCCACTTGTTTAAATGATAACTGCTTGGTAGAAGATATTAGAGGGCTTGCATCTGTCAGCACCGATCACAGCGTTCATCTTGGTATTCTAACAAATTTAATGAAGGAAATTAATTTTGTTTCAGCTGCACTTTCTTTTTATGAAAGGTCTCCGAAATGGAAAAAATGCAAACAATAGCTTTGCCAACCTTATTCAAAAAACTTAAAGTAGATATAATTGAATCCATCACATGTATAAACATCTCGGCATTCATCTTAGCTTTCTGAGAAGCTGGGTAAATGAAGGAAGAGGGATACAACATAAGGTAGTCTTGGAATCTCCACGATTTTCCCTAGGAATTTTCTTTGGAAACCAGTATTTCTGGTTCAATGTCAGTAAATCATAGTATCGGCCCTTTTGGTTTACCACAGGGTCACCTTACATCTCTCTCTCTTGTAACCACTTCTTATAGATAGTTACCTTACCAAAAGAAATTAGCCAATTGTGTATCCCTAACAATGCTTACACCCACATGTCTGAGCAGTGACTCAAGATTTTTCTCATTTACACTTAAGTAATTATAAAGGTTATATTCTGTCAACAATTTAAGTACGTGCAAGTCATAAGATCTGAGATATCTGATAAAAATTACAGCTTCAGTGATAATTTCAAACACCTCAGTTTCCAAGTAAAACATCTAAAGAACTGAATGTCCTGAAAAGGTAACAAATACACTTTGTTTCTCTTTTAAAATGGAATACTAATAAAGTACTGTCTAGTATCTGGTGAAATAACTAAATAATTTTAACTTAATTTGGGCATACTTACTCTGCCCACAGGGCTCATTGGATGAGCAGCATAATCTGATGTCAGATTGTAGTTAGTTGCTTCACATAACATGCTTACTGGTCGCTCCTTCTTTTCTTCAGACGTCATCGCTGCAGCAGTCCTGAAAATAGAGTATGTAATAGCACTAGAACATGCTGTGTATGCAGACTGCTATTAAAAAGCACCCCTAGATGTAGCCTAATACAGGCTGTGTCCTACTTTTTCAATTTGAAAGCAGTTCATACTTCATTGTAAAGTTACCTACACTGTATTTTAAACTTAAATGTCATAGATTAATTTCAAGATTTTGTTTTGAAGTAGGATTTCTGTATTAGTTTATGGTGTTGGTGGGAGGGAAAAACATGAGACAAACAGGAAGAAATGCTCTCCAAAGGCTCCACATGGCTTTACCCTACTTCTGTGAGAATATGCACATTTGTGCAATTTCACATACTGCAGTTCTGGCAGTTTCCATTCTAGCTACGATACAAGAGGTGTCACAGCAATGATGATGAATTGGACACCCAATATCCAGCCACATATAGTATCTTGAAGTCAGGTCTTATATTCTCACTTTTACATTTCATTGTATATGCTACAAAATTAATGTGAAGATAGCAAAGCCAAGTTATTACTCAGTGGTTCAGAAACTGTCTCAGCTGGTCAAGAAAATAACCAATAAAGGAAAAACCATCAGATAAAGCAAGGTAAATTACACTTGATTGTTGCTATACAATTAAAAATGAATTGTTGGACATTTGTTGGATTATTAAATAGTATATGCATTGTTTGTTAACACTGTAGAATAACTGAAGTGAAAAATAGAAATCTACTCAGTTAAACAAAGTGCATTTCTACCATATATAACCAATTTGGGTTATGGCTTTTGTCTTTTTAGATAAAATAATATTAAGCATTTAATATTGCTTTCAAACAATTTAAATAAATAAAACTTTACATATGCTAATCTGACATGGAAAAAATAAATTAAATATCACAATTAGCAATCACTGAAGCTTAGCTCAATACTATAAAACATACAGATTAAAATTCGATAGCCACTTACTGTTCATTCACAACAAAAATACAGTTGTCCTGTGAAGGCTGTCCTGTTACTGGATGCTTACAAGTTACTTTTCGTTCATTATGACTGTGGAGAAGAGATAAGAAACAAGTTGTAGGCAATTCATAGGCAAAATTATTTTTCAAATTTCCAGCTCAAGTATATAAACCTAACACATCAAGTGTATCAAACCAGTGAAAATCATTACCAATGTTTTGTTAAGACATAGCACACACACATAAACAAAAAAGGATGATAAAAAGATGATAGAATTACTCAAAAAATCTTCATGAATATTCTGAAAATAGAAGACATTTGTGTTAGGTTGGTATTGCTTTTGAATTTAAAAAATAGTACCATAAGAGTATGACTAGTTTATACATGATCACTAATAATTTACTTCAGTGAAATCTGTATATACTTTTAAATAAGACTTCAGCTATGCAAGGAGTAGGCAAACTTAAGGCATAACTGCTCTGTAAGGATAAAACAACAATACACTGAAGGCAATTGTCTTCTAGCCTAAAACACAAAATCACTCAGTTAAAATCTTCAGATAAAGCAGATAACTATCCCGTGACTGGAACAGAGCAGGGTGCCACAGGCACAGGTCTGTTTTGGCCGATGACAAGCTCATGCGCTGCTCCCCTGCGCCTCCCCTGGGAGTACCTTCAGGTGCCAAGCAGCCTGTCAGCCTACAGCTTCACTCTCAGCAACACACACCACTCATTTCACATGATCTTGTTCCTGAACCGCAGCTGTTGCTGTATCACAGCAGCTCCCAGAACTTAAAAGAAATTGCCAAACTTCAACAGCTATCAGTTACCGCCACTCAAGAAGGAAATATTTCCACTAGCGCAATCCAGTCCAAGAGGGGATTGGAGGGATGGGGTCAAGATGAGTTGCATTTACTGCCCCCAGGATGTGCCAACCAGCTCATTCCTGCTGCAGACCAGGGCCTCTGTACCTGTGGTGTCCCTCCATGCTGCAGGGTCTCACAGCCCCAGTCATGCCACGTGTGAACACACCTGCAAGCGCGGAGCTGCCAACTGGCAGAGCAGCAAGCCTGGGACACAGTGAGGGGCAAGGAGGATGGACTGCAACACTCCCCCTGGAAACTCTCCCCTATGTCATGTAGGAAGAGAGCTGGAAAGGGGCACTGATGAAATTTAAACTTGGTTCGGTGATTTAAAAGCACACAGGCTGTATTCAGACTAAGGCCAGGCAATGAACACAGACTGCAGGTGGATATAGCACAGGTGTTTCACAATGAACTCACCTCATATTATTTAAAGTGTTAAAAGCATAAATGTCATCCAAATTATATAATGCAGAAAGCAAAACAACAGTAACTGAAAACAGCACTGTAAATGATGAAGAAACAATAGAATCATAGAATCATAGAATATCCTGAGTTGGAAGGGACCCTTAAGGATCATCAAGTCCAACTCTTGACACCGCACAGGTCTACCCAAAAGTTCAGACCATGTGACTAAGTGCACAGTCCAATCTCTTCTTAAATTCAGTCAGGTTCGGTGCAGTGACCACTTCCCTGGGGAGCCTGTTCCAGTGTGCAACCACTCTCTCTGTGAAGAACCCCCTCCTTATGTCCAGCCTAAACTTCCCCTGCCTCAGCTTAACCCCGTTCCCGCGGGTCCTGTCGCTGGTGTTAATGGAGAAAAGGTCTCCTGCCTCTCGACACCCCCTTACGAGGAAGTTGTAGACTGCGATGAGGTCTCCCCTCAGCCTCCTCTTCTCCAGGCTGAACAGGCCCAGTGCCCTCAGCCGTTCCTCGTACGTCTTCCCCTCCAGGCCTTTCACCATCTTCGTAGCCCTCCTCTGGACACTCTCCAACAGTTTCATGTCCTTTTTATACTGTGGTGCCCAGAACTGCACACAGTACTCGAGGTGAGGCCACACCAGCGCAGAGTAGAGCGGGACAATCACCTCCCTCGACCTACTAGCGATGCCGTGCTTGATGCACCCAATAATTCCATTTAAAATATTTACTTCTGCAAAGAATACTTTTTTAAAAGTTATTGTTCATTGTAAGATTTTATATAACACTATGTCTTCTTTTATCACAAGTTCAGCCCTAAAAATACTCCTGGACAGAGAACAAACCTGGAGGAAAAAAATGTGCTTCAGCTGTAAGGTGGCAGAAGAGGTGCAAAACACCAGGAGTCCTGAATGCCACGTTGTCCTTAGCAGATACCTCTTTTATTGCCTGTTTGCCTCATCTTTTCAGCTTTCAAAACTAGGAAGCACAACTCATCTTGAAAATGTTCTGCTCTCTACCGTTCTCACTTTATCAAACAACCTAGACTTTACAAGACTATCTTAACATTCCCCAGGTTCTAGAAAATCCCTTTGAATCATAATCACTTTGCAATTTTTGAGCATAACTTAATTACAAGTTACCTCCATATAAGAGCCTAATAAAATATTCACTCTACTTTCACGAATGGATAGTTGGACGAATCTGCATAAACCTGAAGTCCAAGATTAGAATTCTAACCTAGCTTGTTGCACACTCTGTCTCCCCTTGCTGCAGTTTACAGACACCTAAATGGATAGACATGTTATGGAGCTTAGCTAAAGAGATGAACTCCAGTAATTAATCTTTATCTTCTCACTAAATTCAGCAGAATCCGAAGGTCAGCTTCTAAAGAAGCTTCTGTTGGAGCAGCTCATCCATCCCAATGAGGGGACTGGAGACAGACCACTGGGAGAATGTTTGTACCATTCCAAACAGCCATGATCCCACAAACACCTTTCAAGTGAAAATGGTCCAGAAGTAAACTAAAATTAAATATTCCTGAAGAAGCATCCCGTGTTTGCTTTATTTATTTAATTATCCCCCTTCTTCACTTCCAAAAAAAACTTTTTTTATTCACTCAAACATTTCAGAAACTCTCCTACCAAGCATAAAATAAAATGGAGATGAGCTAGCACTTCATAGGTTTTGACAAAATGATACTGTTCACGTTAAACCTTGACAGCTGGCTATCAGCTGATGTCCAGAAACATTCAAAAAATGGACCAGGACTTCTGGTCAAGGAGCAACAATAATCAGACTGCTACAGTGGTAGCGCATCTCAGGAACTGTGTGAGTGCACCCGGCCCACACTGACAAAGGAACAGGCAACACTCAAAGATCCTAGAGGGACAGTCATACAAAACCAGAAGGGAAAATGGAAATGGGGAGGAAAAGAGTAGAGAGAAGAGTGGGTGCAAAGACGGATCTGTTTAAGAATATTTTGTTTCAGTCTCAAATCATTTCGTGAATCAGTACTCTAAAAGTATCAAAATGGTTTTGGACAAAACACATTTTTTTTCCTTACTACTCTATTTGGCATTGAGATGTATCAAAGTGTAGCTGACATTATATACAAAAGGCAAGAAAAATCATAGACATGAAACGCTCTCCTGTGGGATATGAAATTCTTTCTAGCATTTTAGAAATCTTCCCAGTCACTTCTCTCTAAACAGGGGAGACAATGGAAGAACAATCTTTTTTTTTATCTTCTTCTTAGGAGGAGATGAAATCTCATGAGTAAATGCTGGAAAATCAGCTTGTACAGAAGTGTGACTACTATAAATACTATAAAACTGGATGAATAGACTTCAAATAAATCAATTTGAAAACCTGTTCATTACTCATCTGAAATACTGCATTTTTGGCACTCACTTAGCTGGTATTTTGACAAGACTCCTCAAAATACTTGTGTAAAATGTAGAGCATCTTGGTAATTATTGTCATAACTCTCCTACGTAACAGTAGGTAAAGGCATTCGTTTTAAACCAAATCTTACAGAAAGTTTCATTAAAAGCTACCACTCAACAGTCACAATCTTTTCTACATCCAACTTAGACAGTTGTTCAGTCATCTAAGAAACGTAACTTTGGGTCTACACACGAGCTTTATATCTCATCAATAAATCTTAGGGGAAATAAAGCAAAAATATGTTCTTTTACTGAAAACATAATTTTCAATTTTATACAAACTCCAGTCTGCAATTCAGAGTTTCAGCTCTGCATATTTTTGTGTCTGTACTTTTATTACATGGTAAAGACTGATTTACTTTGACAAAGGCAGAAAGAAGCCAGCATGCTAACTTTCTGGTTGTGCAGAGATAAAGCCTCCAAGACATATGGAAATAACGCACTTATGGTTGAGGTTAGAAGGGGCCTCTGGAGGCCATCTGCTCAAGCAGGAACACCAAAAGCACGTTGCCCAGGACCACATCGAGGCAGCTTTTGAAGATCTCCAAGGAAGAAAATTCCACAAAAGTCTCTGATCAATTTTTGGTAACAATACTTTGATAGCACAGGGTAACTATACACAAACACTGCTGTGCGTATACTAAAGGATGTAAACTGGCCTTTGGTATTTTAGCATCCATAGTGAGGTTGTATTAATGGCTTGCTACACACTAGAGCAAAGGTAGAAAAAAATTCCCCGTATATATCATCAGTATTCGTGAGGATAGTCTCAAGACTCAGTATGTGGCACAAACTATTAACATTTTCCACTGGGATGTGTTGGACTCCAGAAATGGACACAGCTGACTGAAATGACACAAGAGAGCAGCAGGATAATTCATAGTTCTTGCATGTATCAAGTTAATTCTTGGTTCTTGATTCCCATAGTGGGCCTGAACAGTCAACTGCTGTAAAAGGATTTAAACAAAATCAAACAACATAAGAAAAAAAAGCCACACTAAAATAGCTTGCTCAGGAATAAGTTCCATTTTTAGCTATCTCAGAGTAAGACAACTGAACAGGACAATTTGACCTATTTTCTCTGAATTTCTAAACTTCTTCCTGATCCACTCCTCTGAACACTGCAGGCTTTGGCATCATTTAGCAGGTAGCTCAGCTTTGGCACATGGACAAGCCCTCAGAGAAAAAGAATTTATCTTGTTTAAGTTAGAAGTTGACTACAACCTTGAATTTGACTCGCATTATTTGCCTTCTTATCCACTCTTTCTCCTTTCCATTCCTGGAGAGTCTTTGTCTCTTTAAAAGGCAGTATTATTTTTCTTTTCATCAATGCTAGACATGTTTAAAAAATCTTGGTTTTA